TGGACAGAATCAAACATTAGGAGCCGCCTCCTTTTGTGATCGAGACAAATGGACGGAATCAAGCATTAGGAGCCGCCTCCTTTTGTGATTGAGACAAATGGACGGAATCATACATTAGGAGTTTACATTACAAGGAGCATACAGGAGCGTACAAACATTAGTATGCTCTGATTGTACATGGGCTGTAAACCTTTACTATTAGTAAGAATACTAGCCACCACAATCAATTTATATTTGTCAAACAAAATGACAAATTATGAAACCTATACTGTACCACCAACCTATAAGCAAACTGCATGTCAACTGCAGTAACAGTAATTAAGGTGTTTAAGAGTAATAGCAAAACTGCAAGTCCAATGCATCGTTATACAATTGAAAATAGAAATCCTTACAAAAATAGCAGTTCAAGATATATTATAGCATTTTCAAAAAAGAATTATTACAATCAATACAATTACAATACTGTCTAATCTCACTTATCCGGATTATATATATATATAGGAAGGACCCCACCACTGGATAAGCAAAATTCTTACTGGGAAAGTCCAAAAATCAATATATTCGCAATTTTTTGTACCACAATCAACATAATTTGTATTTCCACACACTTTAAATAAAAAGTATAATTTAAAACAAACTTCAACTTACCTTGTAGTTGTTGTTCTTGTTTGAGACTGTCGATCTTGAAATGTGTAGTTCTTGAAAATTTATGTAACCTAATCTCCAGTTATCAGGATTTATGTCCAAATATGGCAAAGTTTTGGCAGAAAATTATCCTGACGTGATTTTTAGCAAGAAAACCCAAATATTCGGTTCAGCGGGCTTCGTATAACCGAGCTCATACAATATTGTGGGAGACTAACAGAATGAGTTTCTATTCCAAAACACTAGGTTTCTAGATTAGTAAACAAAATAATTACTGAACATACAGGAGGCAAGATTCAATTGCAAAGTATTACAGGAGTTGTTTATAATCAAATTAAAAACGCATCAAAATACCATGCCACTCTACATATCAATATTATGCCACTCTACATATCAATATTAGATCTTAAAATTTAGTGGCTCCTAAGATAAAAGCTACTGAACACTTGGGTGGTTGAATTTGGTTTCAGCTATAAGAACTTTTGACCATGTAGTATCAGATTTTCATTACTGTATGGGAATACAATATTAAGTGTTGAGATGAAGGCATGTATCATATAGGTTATAATCTGCAAATTCAAATCAAATATACTGTACTATCTACCACTCATGCAGAAAATATAAACGAGTCCATCTTTAAAAATCTGCCTGGCCAAGAACCAGTGCTGATCTCCTGGGGGTGCTATGACCCATTTTCACCTTCAACGTACTGTAATTTGTCTAATATTTCAAGTAGTGGCACTGGAACTATAGACAAGTTTACGGTATCACTTTATAGAGGAATGTCTCCTTTCAATTCCTATCATAGGACATTCCAAAATGTTTGTAAATTAATTGAAAATATGTCGACTAACGATAAGTACGTTACGTTTCGGTGGACTGACAACTTCACCCTACTTTACACAAAAGGAACTCGGAATGAAAGAAAATAAAAATGGTATGGCGTCCCATTATCTAGGACAGGAAGCCTGTTAGACTTGTCATATTTCCCCTTAATAATGAGCTATGCTTTTTGCATGGTCATCATCCATTCAGTGCTAGCTTTAACCATACTGGTCAAGTAGTGTGCACATCATAACATTGTGCCGCTGACCTCAAATTGACAATATTACTTTTAAAGGGGTTTGTGCAACTCCTGTTTTGTATACGCAACACAAATTATAATAAATGCCTCGAAATGTACACAGTAGTGAACAGCCTAACATCACTATTCACCATATAAGTTTAAGAAACTGTCAATGACAAATATGTTAAGATATTAGAGGACAGTTTAAACTTTAGAAAATACTAAAGTACTTTCAGGTGTACATTAGTTTACTTATAATATGTAAGGGAAAACAAGTATTTGTATAAATCTACTAAAACATAATATATATCAGCATTGTGGTAACTTTGTTGGGATCTATTGATTAGTACAATGTACAGTTTGTGAAACTTACACAACTCGAAGAAAAAATTTAGACAAAACCTCTGGAATGTTCATCAATTAAAATAACATGGGGATGGTATCTTGGTGTATGCATTATCATAAACCTTTGAATGGTGTCAAGTTTTTCTTACTTTTTCAATATCTACCTCCCTTTCATTTGCATTAAAGGCTGTGGAATACATTGGAAATCTGCTGTAATTATACTACATTAACTACTATAATTACCTAATAAAAATATACTGTACTTACCTCCTGAAATTTATACTGTACTTGCCTCCTGAAATTATACTGTGTTGGTGCATATACAAATGATCACTAATGCTAATGGAGCGCAAGTGAATTTTTTGTAAATATATGCTCATTAAGTCCCTCTTTCCCACTACGCTAGCCTCACCCAAATTGGCAGGGAAAATAGTCCAGGATATGGGATGTCCTATGTCCAGGACATAGGGTAGTCGGAGTTGGCTAAAGTTAAATGCTTTAAAAACTATTAGCAATTAGCGACATCCCCCCCAGGCAATTTCTATGGAGTCGGGTGTGAAATATATGGTGTGATTCCATGGAGCCCTAAGTGACAGTACTAATACTCTTATCTAAGAGATCCATACAGTTGTTTCGGTGCTTCTTAATAATAAATTTTCCGAGAAAAGGGGAAAGCCAAGGGGGGGGGGGGAAGATGAGGGTAGGTAGGAAGATGAGGGTAGGTAGGAAGATGAGGGAAAGAGGGTGGGGGAGGGTTAGAGACTCGAGTGCAGTCAGGTACCCTTCAATATAAAGGGAAATATCTATCTGAGGTTGGGTGAGATGGGGAGAACAAGGAAAATGAGGAAGAGGAGAGGGGGACAGGAAAGGGAAAATGAGGGAGGATGTGGAAAGAGGAGAAAAGATGAGGTTAATTTGGATTCCTTAGTTGATTTTGGCTTAAACTTACACTATTAATTTTAACATTATCGATTCAAAAGTTAAAATTTTCATAGGGCTAAAGTTTTAATGATATTCAGCTTGTTAGGCAACTCTGGTAGTTAGGTGCTGGTACATCCATATTGTACATTCATTTCATTTATATAGATATATAAGCAATTATTGGTTGAATCTACTGAATAGTAACTGCCTTCATGAGCTATAAAAATTGTGAATTGATATCTAATACCACTACCTAGTTACCTGCTACTTTAACACAAACTTCTCAGTTAAAGGGACAAGGGTCTTTCCAAACATACAATTATAAAACAAGTCAGACAAATATACAAAGTTAGTTAAATATACAAAACTTACAATACTATACAAATGCTCCATATCCTACCAGGCTATACAGATTTTTAATTAAATTTATTGTATCCAGTCAGAAAATTGGCTGCGGGGACATTGCTCCTCAGAATCACCGCAAAGTAACACCGATTTTTTATTTTTTTTTTTTTACCCGGGCACAATGATGCCACAAGTGACAAACGAAAGTCATAATTATTTTTGCATAATAAGAATTGGTTTTCTTTCTTTTAAAGTTATTTTACCAGCACAGACATCTGTTAGTAAAATTCATAATCAAAACAAAAAAATTGCTAATTGTGCAAACATTTAAAAATGTGGTTAGCAGTGTATGTCCAACTACCACACTATGTTTATACTTGTAGTTGGAAGGGTTAATCATTACAATCTGCTACATTTAACAAAATAAAGACCCTGAAAGAACAAACTTTACCACCAAAAACTTTATCACCAACTCACCAATTACTGTTATCGTTACATCAATCCCACTGAAAATAAGAAAGCAATAGCTCAAATCATTTGATGCTTCTCTAGTCATGATTTAAAAAGAACAGGAGCTGTAATTATGGCAAAAAAAGTCCTAATGTAAGTTGACCAAGAAAAAAAAAGTTTATATAAAAGGGAGCCGGTCGGCCGAGCGGACAGCACGTGGGACTTGTGATCCTGGGTTCGATCCCAGGCGCCGGCGAGAAACAATGGGCAGTTTCTTTCACCCTATGCCCCTGTTACCTAGCAGTAAAATAGGTACCTGGGTGTTAGTCAGTAGTCACGGGCTGCTTCCTGGGGGTGGAGGCCTGGTCGAGGACCGGGCCGCGGGGACACTAAAGCCCCGAAATCATCTCAAGATAACCTCAAGAGATATATATAAAGGTACATGCCAAATTGAATTAAAGTAGATAGGTACCATAAAATATGTACATATTACACTGCAACTACAGTTTTTTGTATAGAAATGGTATGAAGAGTGTTAGAAAAATATACATACTAGTCATTTGGATGCTTGTATGTAGTTTTAAAAATCCTAACCTAATAAATTTATCCTGATTTCCCTGACCTACTCTACCCTACTTTGCCAAGCTTCACTCAGCTACAAAGATATACGAGGCCTGTATAAACCTTTATAAATCTTAAATACAAGCAGCAGCATCACGCCAGTGTGCGTGTCTAGTCAATAAAGATCTGAGTACAGTTTATCTAATATGTACATGCACTTATCACTATTTCTTTTTTGTTTTGTACAATTGCCAGTAATGGCAGATAAAGGCATGCCTCCCAAGCTAACTTGCTGTGGTCACTATGCTATTACAATAACCAATTGTAACTAATGTATTTTTCTGCTACCTATCCTATGCCTTTTCTTACCCCATTTCTCCAAACTGATCTGTTATTGATATAACACAAACACATCTCAGTTTGATAATTTCTTTATCTAAGTGTAGTGAATTTAGAATTTTACTTGAAGAAATGTTAAATTTAAAATTCAGAGTTAAGAAAGAAATCAATGAAATGCAGTATACAAATTATATGATTCAAAGAGTCAAGATGTTCAATATTATGCCAGTTAATGATACGAATAGCAAACATCACAAGCCTTATTCTAGTCAACTTTTCATACAAAAATTATTAAACCATTTTTTACAGAACCTTTGCAAATCTGGCAAGAATATATAATTGAGAGAAGTTCTTTACGGCACAAAATCATTCAAAAGATGACAAAATAAGAATGATTCTAAGAATATAAATACTATGAATCTTCTTGCAGAGCAAATGAGTGTTTACTGCATTTTACCAAGATGACAAACAATTCCTGTTGACTTTTGCATTACAGCCTTCTTCTATACAGAGCTGTACTCGTCATGGTAATTCACCAAACAACATTCACCGCTAGTGTTAAGGACAGCAACACATACGAAACGTGTAATACATCAGTGTTTGCAGTGCAATCTACCTCGTATCGAGCATTCAGGAACTCCATTCCTGTAAAACAAAAAATTAATTAAACCTTGTTAACATTTAAAGAAAAACATTTAAGTCCTGGCATCTTAATAGCTGTCTGCCCTATAATTATTACTTTTTAACATGTATTGTAATGGTAAACAGACACGGACGGCAGCCATGTTCCCTCAGAAGGAAGACTTGTGCAGAAATGGACACTAGTGGGTACGACAGTTACCCAGATATGGATTATAGTGGTATTTCTCTAGAGAGGAAGACTACCCTGGATCTTCCAGGTTATCTTTATCGAGGTATGGATGGTAGTGGTGTTCATCAGGAGAAAGACGTACACAGATATGGATGGTAGCCATGTTTGCAAAAAGAAGTCTTACCTAGATATGGATGGTAATGTTGCTCCTCGAGAGGCAGTGGCACAAGCTGCTGTGTGGCATCCTATGGAGCACGAAAATAATCACATGACAACAAATACAAAATAACTTCAAAAGTGTCACTGCAAATCAAATTATCAAATAGTCTACATAAATCTGTCACTCTCTTTTTAAAAGAACTACAGCATATCATATGCATATGGCAAATCTGACATACATAAATAGCTCATCTTTGATCTATGCACTATGTTTACATATTTCATAAATTCCCACATGATTCCATCCATGTATACATTGAACAATCAATGTGACACATCCTCCCCCACAATTTATAAATTCATTGGGACAACCAAGATGACATCACACAACACAGGCAAACACTTACACTGATGTCAAACCAGTCACAAATTGCACCAACTCATTCTTTACTTACTACATAAATGTCTCGCTGCACTTAACAGAAAACTCTATCCACGTACATAACTCTAAAGATTTAAATTTGCTATCTGAGTTTTCTGAAGTCCAAAAGCCATATATGCCTTAGAATCTTTCTCACATGCCTATCTACAAGTTGCCTCAGATCAAATATCTAAATGAAAAACCCTCTACCACAAAGGTTCCTAACAAATTTCTCTGTAATTTCCTGTACATACTTTTCTAATAACCAGGATAAAACAACCAGTAACCAGCTATTTATGTAAATTATCTGTGTTCATATCAGATTTATGAATTATAATAATAATACCTGTAGATAAAATACTTATTGAAATCTTAACCATAATATGTAGTTGGCCTGCTTTATGGCAGGTGTCTGGCCCCCAAGTGCAGGTGTCCAGTTAGGTAGGCATACTACTAATCGTAAAAGAATTTTACCAGTATAAACATATATACTATTATCTATATTATACCCATCATTCTCTCCACACTGTTATCCACCATTCCTCTAACCTTGGTACCCAGAGATCCAACCTCCAAACAACAATATAGCACACCAGTCACCACCAGCACAGGCCACCCCTAATGTTTGGTGGCTTTTTACTTGTAAACAACTGAGTGTTAAGATCTAATATTACTGTTCTTGGAAGCATGGTGTGTCAGTACTCTTTGGTTATATCTTTTTCACTGTATTATGGATAGCTTGACCCAATGGCAATATGGCTAGATACTAACATTGGCTGCCCCCGTGTTTGGTAAGCCAACGCACACTAAGATACGATATTAATGTGCAACGTAACATGGTGTGTTGTCATGCATTTGTGGCACTTTCAATTGATTTAAGAGATGCAATGCAACTTCAGTCTATCTAGATAATCAGAACTATCCACTAGACCATAAACTGCAATAGTGTTGTACAATGCCAGTTAATTAAAGAAAGCATCCTACAACATAATTTTTTGGTCCAATATATTGTTCACTTTTAGCAGAAATAATATAACTGTAAATTTTGTATGCATTTTAATTCTGAGCTATGCCTTAGTAGCTTTCCTAGCCACTACTGGTCAGACTAGCCATAATGTCTGTGAGGTAGTTCGAGTCAGGAAATTCAAAGATGTGTGTGGTGCTGTGGTTTGGTGGCTTAGCAATAGGTACTCTGGTAGCCTAACTGATAAGTTAGCCAGAGTCCTCCTTTGGTGGTCACCGGTGATGCGGATTATGGGTACAGAAAGGCACAGAGTCTTAACAAACGGAGTTCTGCCAGTGATTCTGAGCAGAACTGAACACTTCCCAGTAACTTCCTAGTTGATGACATGACAGGGACCACTTGAAAAGTTGCCAGTTGTGCCAGCAAGTCATCCTGCCTGACTGCATGACACTGCTCTCAACTGCAGCAGATCTTAAGATCTTACCTTGAGGGAACATCCAGATAAAAAAGTTCAGAAAGGATCGGCTAAAATGACAAGGACAGCACTTATAACACATACCTGGAATATTAGGTCAGCATATGGTTCCTCTGAATGGTACATTTTAAAGCTGAAATGCAAAAAAAAAATATATATATATATATATACGTATATGTACTTCAACAATATTTATTTTCAAACAGCTATGTAAATAGATTCTATATATATACATTTCATAACATTGCATTACATTTTAACAAATATAGCTTGAATATTTAACTATTTCAGTTTTTATTAAAGGTGATACAATGATCAACATCATATCTATGCATAACAAGTGCATTCTTCATATTGAATGTTCTAAGTGTTAGACTTTTGTTCACACACATTTTTATCAATGTCCCAGAAACTTGCACCTAAGTACATATTATCAGCCTCTATAAAAGATATAATATGTGCCTGCCTTTACCTTGCTTTTTCTCCCTAACAAGGTTACCGAGTGTTGCTTAGTTTGGCCAAACTGATAGACCCACTGATGTGAACATGCATGAGCTATTGTGCCAGTCTATTGGCACAAAATAGATTGTGCAGTCTATTGCACAGCTATTGTGCAAAATACTATTAATACATATTTTTAATTTAAAGAGAAATATCAGATGTATCTGGGCATTTTAAGATAAAAATTAGCTATAGAACAGTGTCACTGAAAATTACTGTATAATGTTAGCACCATTCAAAACATTACTAGTGTTGAACTTACTTCCATTCATCATCTGAATCTCTGCCAAAGTATTGCTGGGCATAAAGGAAGAGATTGGTGTATGCTTCCACCTCAGTCCGGTTATACAAAGCTCCTCCACGAGTAACAACAGCATTAGATCGAACTGTACCGAGATTACAATCCTCATATTCTGTCACAGGAGCCCGGGTTCCTGGAGAAAATGTTTTCAAGATAAATCATGACAAAATGAAAAGAGGAAGGAATACAAGAGATAATATTTAATAGAGATATGAGACATAACGAGATAATATTCAATATCGAGGCAGGAGATATAATTAGTATAACTAAGGTAGTCTCCTTGATACCTAAAAACTTCTAAAATTAATTAATTAAATTCTGAGAATTAATTAAGTTTATAGAGAAACAGCTTATTAAAAAAAATAGCTTTAAGTGCCTGACATGATATAGCAGCAAAGTACATAAAAATTCCAAATCATCAGCATTAATTTAATTTTTCTTCTTGTTTACCAGTACATTAAGTAGCTAAGACATACACACCATCACGACACACAAGCTGGTAGTCGGAAGTTAGCTGATTGCGAGCCCACCACTCTTTACGTTTTCCATCTACATTCTCCCGTACTGTTGTATGTTTCAGGAATGCTATGTCCCCACCGCCTTCAACAAGACATCTAAAAGCACCTGAAACAAAAGTAAAAGTCAGCATAGCATGAAAGATTTAGTCTCATCTTACATATTTTCATAAGTATTCATTTCAATCTGCATTCATCTATGAAATCCCACATCTTGTTTACAGAACATTATTTCTAACATGTGATGAATACCGATAAGAAAATAATCTGAATACTGTTGGACGGCATATGTAATCTACTTAGGCACTTATAATTGGAGATACCCGAGTACTGTATAGCCCAAACAGCAAAGGAGGATGAATTTCTGTAGTTGCAAAATTCCCTAATAACAGTGACTATTTAAACAAATTATTTGTGGGGAGTAATAACCCAGTAGTAGATATACTGTATTTAGATGGCAGAATCATCCAGTAAATGAGAATGAAAGAACAAAGTGCAGTATTCTACATGGAAGAGAATAATAGACAGCTGCTGCAAAGTGAATTAGCGAGGTCAGGCAACTCGGTGTAAAGTCAGTTACATGCCAGATTGGGGAGTTGACTATTTGAGGCCAACCAAGGCATTCTGTTGATAACCTTTCACATTCTGTGAAATTAGCTGGGACACACACATGACAAGTCTCTCTCCCAGAGGTTGGTCAATGGTTGTGTCAAATCCCACGAGGCAATTGCGTTCAAGTAAAGTGCCAGAGGCCATATGAATTACCAGACATGAACTTTCAAAGCAGCAAATTGTGATAAGGCGATAACTCTGGCTGAAGGATCAACAGATCGTTCAGTATGAAGATTCAGAGCTAATAGGAACAACTCTCTGGAGTAGAGATGTTAATGGAAGTGAACCCAGCTTTCTCATTTTTGTACTCAGGAATTTGTGTTAATACAGTTGAACAACCAAGGTAATGAACATAATGGTTTTAAGCATAGGGTATTAGTGATAAGATACATAGTGTGAAGAAACAGTGTCAGGAGTGATTGAAGAGTTGGGACACAATGATTTTTGTTTGTTTTGTGATGAATGACCAAGTCCCAACTGCTCAGTCTACACCAAGGAGTAGAGATTGGACTAAGTGTGGTTCAGGGGGTGGACCATGTGTGAACAGATGGTCCACCCCCTGAACAGATGGTCAGATGCTTTTCAGGATAGAGTAGACCAGGTGTGGTCAGGAATGACTGAGTTTCATCCAGGGTGGACTGAGAATGCGGTCCAGGAGTGATCTGGGACATGTAACCACCAGAGTTTAGGGAAACTTTGAGAGTATAGGATAATACATACAATTATACTTTTATACAAACAAACAGCTGTCTAAACCCTCAGTGCTCTTTAAATTACAAATAAAACACCCTTCAACATTCTTGAAGGTTAGAAAGCCCACAATACAGACCCTCTCTACAAAGTAGACAGTACATAGCTCATGTTATCTTATCCTACCTACTTACCTACCTTTCTACAAAAATAAATGACCTCAATACCTTCTTTGGAAACAACCTACTTACTAAACTAGAGTTAAAATGTAAAATAATTTCCATGCAGTCATGCCATTATAGCATTTAAAATAAGAGCCAGGTGATAAAAAGTTGTTAGCAGTTCCTTTATATTTAAGTCTTACAAACAAATTCCAGGGTGAATATAACTGAACAGCATCCAGTTGATCAACTGATTTATATTGGACCTTCACTATTTTTGTATAAAAATGTTTATGGAACAGTAAAGCATGCATTGCTAAATATTTAAACAGAAATACCATCTAAAAAATGCCATTGTGGGTTATTACATTTGGCTAAGGAAAGGGTCCACAGCTTGGTGCTTTCATAGAGAATCTTCAATGTGGCCTCGAGACAAAAAGACAACTACAATTGAAATAAGAAAAATGATAAAGTGAAATTATTATAAACAAACACAAATAAACAAATATTATAAACAAAGAGAATACACTACCTACCAGTGAACCCAAAGTAAGGCTCGCTGTGATCTCTGGCACAGTAGCCATTGCCAGTTCCATGACACAGATGGCAAAGGTTGAGGCGGGTCATGTCATGGCGATAGTAACTGTTGAGGGCACCTGGGACACACGACTTTTGGAAGTATTCCGAGGCAGCTCTCACCGAGTTACACGAATACTGACGGATGAGATTGTTGTTGATGAGGTAAGCCATGGGCACCACCCAACCACCGCCATGCATCACACCTGGGTGACACGTCATTTTCCCTATAAAGCACACAAAAGGTCATCTCTTAGTTGTCATTTTTATGAACGGCAAGACGTATGGGGTTTTAAAATGCAATTACAATGCATTAATTGTAAACATTTCAATTCGATTTTCTTATCAATGAACCTATAGCAAATACTTATATAATTATGGACTTATAATATAAGTCCATAATTCTGAACAAAATTATGATTCTATAAGCCATGTGAAGAACCTAACCCTATAGGATCTGTAACAATTTAAAGGGAATAATAAATAATATACAGAGAAATCCTACTAATATAATATATATCAATGAGAATATCAATTGGAGTGACGAGGTGACTCGGTACAGGGGTAAAGTGCACAGCTGAGAGTTTCTTTATCGCTGGTTCGAGTCACCTCATTGCTACCAAAACAACAAATACTGTGTACACATTGAAAATAAAGATTTATAAACAATAAAGCAACACATTAAACTAGGATTTTAATGAGAATGAGCATCACTGGATTTTACATAAACTTCAAGGCTTTACTAATCAAGCAACTTCAGGACACTCAAAATTACACCCAAAGCTCGATCACCAATTTTCAGAAAAGAATTCATGAAGACTAAACTGCTTCATTGCGACTATACTGTATAACACTTGAAAGGTAAGTATGGATGAGGATTTATGATAGGAAAGAAGAAAGAAAAGGTGCCCAACTACTTGTACTGTCAAGGATTGAACACCAACGTGCAGAAGCGAAACCGTCGAAGACAGAAGTGTAAGGGGAAACATGATAACCACCTACAAAATTCTCAGGGGAATTGACAGGGTGGATAAAGACAAACTATTTAGCACGGGAGGAACACGCACAAGGGGGAACAGGTGAAAGCTGAGTACGCAAATGAGCCACAGAGACATTAGAAAGAACTTTTTCAGTGTCAGAGTGGTTAGTAAATGGAATGCACTAGGAAGTGATGTGGTGGAGGCTGACTCCATACACAGTTTCAAATGTAGATATGATAGAGCCCAGTAGGCTCAGGAATCTGTACACCAGTAGATTGACGGTTGAGATCTGGGACCAAAGAGCCAAAGCTCAACCCCTGCAAGCACAACTAGGCGAGTACAGGTGATTCTTATTGTACAAAGTGTACCGTCAGCCAGTTCCTCACCTTGTGTGTGTGTGTGTATTGATTTCAAACTGATTTATGTTATCTCAGGTCAAACTTTAGAAGAGTGATTGCATATTCAAAGCCACCCACAATGGTCCTTGATCAAAACAGTCATACACTTTAAGATCCATAAAGACAGCATACAACTTTCTTCCCTTTGCTAGAAACTTTTCAACAACCATAGTAAAACTCTGATGTGCAGCCTCTCCCTTCGTGAATCCACCCTGTTCCTCCTCAATCCTATTTTCTGTTACTTATCTTGCTTTATGGTTTTGTACCCTTACCTGCACCTATCCTGGAATGCCAAGTAACAAATTTTTCAATTGTGCTCCACATTCTTGTTTACCATTCGCTTCCTAACATATTAGTACAACAGTGGCCTTAATCCAATCACCCTCCTATTGCACCACCTGACATACACTTAACATTATGTGTACTATTTCCTCAACATACCCACAATTATTCCATCTAACAGAGGAGCCTCTTCCCTCTTTAATCAATGCATAGTTTCTCTAATTTCTTCCTATCTATCCCCAAACCTAAAACACAGTTGATGCTAGGTTGATTGCACAACATAGGACTGGGCAATGAGTTTGCCACATCCTAATGCCTATAATGTTTTGAAGGATGAAATAAGTCGCTTAACTTCAGTCCCCCTGCCTACTTAACTGACAAGACAGTTATAGTTATCAGAAAGTCTGTGTGGGATCTCACCTTTTAGATAGAGAACATCAGTGTCAGGATCATCCTCCTTTGACACAGCCACAACATAATACTCTAGAGTGTCCAGATTGTACTGTTCCCCCATTATGGGTACTAGCTCGTGTGTGAGGCCTGCACTATAGATGTCCCCTGCCTCAAATACAGCCACATCTGCTTCCCTGGAGGAATATAACAAAAATATTATTTTTGTATGTTACATTTTATATAAATATCAATTTGAATTATAAAAGTTAATTATCAATAAACTACAACAAATTAAAACAACATACAACATAACATTGATACACATTTGTCTCACTAATTCATTGTAAATATTTACTATCTTATGCTATTATTATCCATGTGTGGGCCTATTGGTGGGTATAAATAGGAGCTGCATCGTATGGGCCAATAGGCCTTCTGCAGTTCTTATGCGGCTCATATTTGAATCCACCTAATTCCCATTCATTTTTCATTTTACCTCACCTCACTTCACCTTTCTCTCCTGCCTATATTTGTCCAATACTTGACCTGTAAATCATTCCTTCTGAAGATGTACTAATATATGAAAGTACTTAAGGAAATTCCTGTTTCAATTCTTCCTCCGTGGTCTGACACTCACATTTTTCATCGCGTGTTAATTTTCGTGATTTACACACACAACATAACTAATATTTATATACTGTACAGTACTTTACAGAATATTTCAGAACAACTTTGATAAATAAAGCTTTTTACACAGATTAATCTTCATGGATTGGTTAACACAAGGTATAAATTGATACTCATTAAAACACACTGTATAGTTAACAATCACAAGAACAAAATAATAAATGAAACTGCAGAAGGACTATGGGGTCCATACAAGGTCCTCCAACTACCAACTAAAACTAGTCACACCTTATGACTCCACTACAGCTAAACCATGGCACATAGAGGATATATTTCATAATAAATATATTTCCAAGATGCTTTTTAAAAATTTAAAGTTTTTTTTACATGCATGGGAATAGCAAGTACATAATATTAGTGGGTGGTTTGAGGGCTATTGCAAAAATATATATTTTTTTTAGAAAAGTTACACATTTATAAATTTTTGTGGAGAGAAGCCTGAAACTGCCACATTCCCTGCCTTACCCTAACCCCCTGCTTTAATTAACCTCATTTCCAATTTATGGTGTACCTGAAGGTACTGAGTGATAGTTAATTGGGGTTATACTATACAGTATGTTCATTCTGGTATGTGTGTAATTGTGTAATTAAGTATAAACAGGTATAAACAGCTAGGAGACTGGACATAAAGAGCTGGATCTCACTCCCCCATAGTTATTGATAGGTAAGCACCCTACTGCTTCATTTCTGCCTAAATCCACAAACAAAATTTGTACATCATCCCTAGACATCCCTAGACTATGTGCTTTGAAAGCCTCTCTTTGAAATTGTCTATATAGAGTTGTATTATCCATGTGTTGAAGTTTCCTTCCTCCTCCTTTCTCAATGCCATGTAGTGGTTTTTGGCTTAATTTTACAATATTTCTGTTGCATTTGTAAGTTAGGTCTCTTCCTATATTGGTTAAATGTCTATTTTTGTGCTCTGCAATTTCTGTTGTATCAGTCCTGTTTTTCATTCCTGTCACTTTATTAAAAAAGATTGGGTGACCCCCTTGAACCACCAAAAGGAAGCCTGTGAGTGACAGTGTACACTTAAACAGAAACTGGAGTCTCACTGCTCAAGTACACACAAAAGCAAGAATGTAAATACTGTAATCCTTCACCCTTCTACTGTACTGTACCTGTAATTCTATATCTATCGGGCATATCCTGCTCCTGTGAATGCTTCCAAGTACTGTACCTAAATTTAATTTAAACTACACAGCTTACCGTTTTTTAATAGCAGCCATGCAGTCAAAGTTGGAGTCTCCTTTGAGGCATTGCATCTTAGGCTGGAGCAGTTGAGCGTGCAAAGCAGTCTGTATGATAAATTCTTAATGAAACCAAATCAAACAAATTACATTGATATCATGCACTAAAAAACTCCTAATATGGAGCATTGCATTTAGTTCTGTTGCACATCAAAATGCAATATATAGCCAACATTATACTTTTTCCATACAAACAGGACAAACCAACAAGTCAAAAAGAATTCTGTAAAGAACACTCAACATAGCACAAACATTTCTTCCAAAACGTGCATGCACAATTGAACATTAACAATTTTCATTACAAACAAGTACTTTATTAGTAATTATTAGTAAACTATATAAAATCTCATATTAGCTAGGATAAGTGTAAAAACTTGTCATATATTTTCCATGCTCCATGTATAATGGGTAAAACTATTGATAAACTCAGTGTAAACATATAACAGAATTTTTAATATGGGCATGAAGAGAAATACCTTCTATCTTCTGTGTAGTCAATATTAATACCGTTCTATAAAAATTTTACATAAAACTCTAAATGCCTATTTAAACATATAATATTCCAATAACTAGTCTATAAATATTATTTATTAATCCTCAAGTCATCATATTAATAAGAAGCTCATGTAACATCCAAGGTTTCATGCAATTTTTATTAGGTAATGTCTAACTCATGTGAAATAGTTTTCTAAATAGTTGCATTATCTACTCACCTGCATCTTGCGGCACTTGGAGAACTCGGCCTGAGAGGTTACACACAGAGTCATGGTGGAAACAGGACACGAGTGCACAGAATGAATGTGGCTGATGGTGTCCCCCATGAGATACTTTTCAAAGTTTTGATTACTGATGGCCAGCTCCACTAGCATCTCTGTGTCATCCTGCACACAAAAATTATAAAGCCATTCAAAATGCTGCTGCAATTTCTCTTTACAGTATTGTACAATAAGTTCAGCAAATACCATTGCAGAAACACTTAACATTTACAATTAAAGCTTTTTATTATTTTAGTATTGAACACTCCAGTTCCAGGGTTAGTTCGTTCATGAAAGTTTTCTCTTTCTCATGATTTGTGTAGCTGTTTATTGTAATACAATATTATATTTTGTACTAATGATACATTATGTATGATAACAGATAAAGGAAAAATATTAGAGTGTAGACATTGCATCTGAAAGTGAATCAGACAGTAGTTGTGATTATTAAGTTAATTCTAAAGGATTGAGCAATGAATTTGCAGTTGACACATAGTTTTTTGTAGCTGCTTCGGTTGTTCACCTATGATTATATATTATGTCTATGTCATTTAGTGGATGCTATTATTGATCCTGGCTGCTATTGTGATATGTGATATCACAATAGATATCACAAGTAGAAAGGTCAATACCTTGACTTCAGTTACAGGTAAAGAGCCAACACCTAGGTACTGGCACTGAGATCAGCTAACACAAAAGTCCACCTAAACACGAACAAAACAGTAATCAATGTTCATCACAGTCAAACTAGGTGGGAATGATATAAAGAACAAAATACAGGATGGTTGGGATAGAAAGAGACGAGTGTGGGTATAGAGAGTGAAGTGCAGGGTGGGAATAGAAAGAGAAGAAAAGGATGGGAATGGGAAGAGGAGGGTGAGGATAGAAATGAAAGATCATGTTGGGTAGAGTGAGAGGGCGTTTACCAATCAGCAGTGTTTATGATGCACAAGATCTGGCTCTTTGAGACCCATCTTCTAGATATTGGTAACTGAAACCTTTAAATCACAATGTTCTAGTTGGAGGTGGGGGTAACTAGGGAAGGGAAGAACGGCAATATATTTTTTTTTTTTTTTTTTTTTTTTTTTTGAGATATATACAAGAGTTGTTACTTTCTTGTACAGCCACTAGTACACGTAGCATTTCGGGCAGGTCCCTGGAATACGATCCCCGCCGCGAAGAATCGTTTTTACAACCAAGTACCCATTTTACTGTTGAGTTAAACAGAGGCTACAGTTAAGGATTTGTGCCCAGTAAATCCTCCCCGGCCAGGATACGAACCCATGACAAAGCACTCGCGGAACGCCAGGCAAGTGTCTTACCACTACACCACGGAGACTGGATTGGAATGGAAAAGGGTGGTGGTAATAGAGAAGGGATTGGTAGGACCTATGGATAAAATGCAAACAAGGATAATATAAATGGGAACGTGGAAAAAGAATGGAATACTGTACTGTAGTTTGGAGATAGAAAAATGGGATTGTTAAAATAGAGAATGTGGTGAAAGAGATGAGAGAGAAAAGAAGTCAAAAGAGAGAGAGAGCAAGGAGGACAGATAGTGAGAGGTGTAAGCCAGTCAGAAGAGAAGGAGGGCAGGGGGAAGAGAGAATCAAGTTAAGTAAATGTAGAATTTGGGAAAGATCTGAAAATAGAGGCAAGAGTGGAAACTGAAATGAGAGATATGAAAAAAACAGCGTTGAATGTAATGAAATATCATTTTCTGGGTGAGACCCGGAGGCTCACTGGAGCTATACCAGGTTGATGTGTATGTACAGTATTAGACCATGGAAAGAGTCAATCGATGGAGTTCTTAGCCTACCGGGGACCACGAACCAGAACCTGCCCCCCCTCAAAGAGGCGCGAGGAGCAATGGTCTATAGACCCCAATGTAGTTGGAAGCAGTCTATGTCACCCATCTACCAGGTCAGGCACCCAGAAAAGTAGGAATCCCAAAACAAACTACAATTGGTTAAAAATTGCACACCGAAAGCCGAACGAGCAGGCAGAAGTTCCCAATCAGAAAACAAGCAAACAAGCATGACATCACCACAGCCGCTGTGCTGCTGTCTGCGCAGCTCCCCCCTCCTCAAGAGGGGGAAGGGGGATCCTCAGACCTCCCACGCCGGCTACCTAACCCCAGTTTAGAGGCTGAATATCAAAAACGTGAAAAAAAAAAGACCGGAGGGAGGAAGGGATGCCGGGGAGCCTCCGGGTTTCCCCCAGAAAATTCTGGGCTTCAACCCGAAGCTACCTAACCAATGATAAAGGAAAAAAAGATACTTACCTGTGAAGGACATGCTACTCGCTCCTCAACTTGAAGTCGAGACAACTAGCTGCAACCTGCAACCCAAGGCTACACATCGAGAACATTAACGAGGTACCAAACGGCCAGGACCCTGTTCAACCTCCAAAAGCCCCTTGCTCGAATGTCAGCCCAGGATCTATTACCAAAAACAGCAGCTAAAGCCGCGAACTTACGAACGTCGTGGGCACAAGGATAGATCGCAGGCTGGCTGGACCGAATAATCCTGCGGACAACCTTGGAGACCCGCGCCCTGGAACAGGGAAGAAGGGAAACTAGGTCAACCCAAAGAGCGACCCCTGCCACGAAGGCCTTGGCGCACAAGTAACGGCAAAGAGTACAACCAGACACAAAACATTATGCACCCCCGGCCGAACCAACTAAGCATCAACAACCCAAGGACCCCTCCGGAAAGCAGCTGTCTCAATCTTCGCCAGAAAGGAAGGAGACAGCTGCACATGAACAAAACGATTACCAGGACTGAAAGAGCAGAAACCCCGTGCCAGAGGAGAGGATGAAGCTACCCGACCCAACCCCCAGAGACCAATACCAACAAGAAAAGAGCCTTAGAAAAACAGTCCTGAACCGAAGGGGCCGCCACAAACCGAGGAGAAGAGAGCACCCGGTCCAATGATCAGGATGGCTCAGACGGCGCATGAGCAGGTCGGAGGTAAAACAATGCCCAAGAAAGTAAAACAGAAGTGACATCCACTCCGAATGCAAGCTGAAGCGCCTCCGCCAGCACCGCACGATATGAGGCAACAGTATTTGGCATAAGATGATAGTCCTGAAACAATTGAGAGAGGGGACAAATCAACCCAATCAGAAATCGAAGACAACCTACAAAGAGTCAAGAAGTGCTGAAAGGACTGCCAGGAAACTTCATACTGACGCCAAGATGAAACTCACAAACGGGAAACAATCAACTAAGCCACCTGATCACCATACAAGTGTGGATGGGATAAATCCGTGTCAAGACCAGATGCGAAGATTGGAGGAGAAGATCGAACCAGCCATGTACCGGACCGGATCGATCTGCTGAAAGAGGCGGAGCCATTGGAAGACTCTCGGGTTCAGACACCGAGCAAGCTGCGCTTGAAACCAAGGCAGGGCCGGCCACCAGGGGGGCCAACAGGACTAATCTCCCCTGGTAAGTCTCCAAGCGAGCCAGGATCTGGAGCAACAACCAAACCGGGGAAAAGAGGTACAGGTAACCCCACCTCCACCAGTCCAGTCGAACTGCGATCCCCGACGGCCACGCAGTTCGGTAAGGGCGCCGTAAATACGGGAAGACGCTCGACCAAGCCGACGTGAAGAGGTCTACCTCTAGGCGCCCGAACATCTGGCAGAGCCAACGGAACAAGTTGGCATCGACTGTCCATTCCGTTGGCAGGGAAATGAACCGGGACAGGCTGTCCGCCAGGACGTTGGACACCCCCTGGATATGAACCGCCAGGAGAGCGAAACCCCAAGAACTCAGCAGACAAGTCACCCGAAGCGACCAGCCTCTTAAAGAGCCAAGGACCACATCGAACCCCCTTGGTTCAGGCAATGAACCACCGGGAAGCAGTCCGAATGTAGCCGAATCGTCGCTCCGCGAGCGACACAAACCCTCTGAAGCGAAAACCACACTGCCGCAAACTCCCACCATGTGCTGCAAGTATGCCGCAAGGACGGACCCCACCGATCCTGGCCGGCCTGGTGAGCACTGGTCACGAAGCCCCAGCCGAAAGACGACACGTCCGTGAACACATCAAGGCGACTAATGCCCCCATGTTCGGGTTCCCCATAATCAAAGCAGGGCAGCCTCGGGGCATCCGGAATGGCAACCAACCTAGAACATTGCAGCAACCTAAACCTTGCATGCAATGCTGAAGCTGCCTGCACCCCGAATATCAATAGCAGTGGACTGGGTGAACTGGAGTACAAGCAAGGAACACGACTCACGGGACTCTGGGTCAAAATTGTCATTGACGCAACAGGCAGCATGGCGGAGGCAAAGACAGTGATTGTCACCCTAAGACAAGGGGACTGAGCAACCTTCAAATTCGAGTGGAGGCGAGATGGGACTCAGAGGACACATCCATTGGACCAATGAGTCATAATGGGGGTTTCCAGGGCCCTTAAGCTGACTGTTAATTAAGGGAATCCCAGGCAAGCTACATGTACTGCTAACCGTTTTTTTTTTTTTTTTTTTTTTTTTTTTTTTTTTTTTTTTTTTTTTTTTTTTTTTTTTTTTTTTTTTTTTTTTAGATATATACAAGAGTTGTTACATTCTTGTACAGCCACTAGTACGCGTAGCGTTTCGGGCAGGTCCCTGGCATACGATCCCCTGCCGCGAAGAATCGTTTTTTCATCCAAGTACACATTTTACTGTTGCGTTAAACAGAGGCTACAGTTAAGGAATTGCGCCCAATAAATCCTCCCCGGCCAGGATACGAACCCATGACATAGCACTCGCGGAACGCCAGGCGAGTGTCTTACCACTACACCACGGAGACTTATCACAGAACTATCAAACAAACAAAATGCTGAACCCCTTGTGACATATGCAATCACGAGGACCTAGTAAACAGCCACCCAAATAATACAAGTAGTTCTACAGTCACACCAGGCAGATTCCCACCAGGCATAACAAAAGAAAATAAACACCCCGCAAAGGCACAATGTCTCCAGGAGGAACAGAACTGGCCGCTATGCATATTAAAAGACAGCTGCACACTACCTTGCCCCCCCCTGCCAGCGACGATATTACCTCCTACCCAAGGCCAAACAGTGGTAGGAAAAACCCCAGCTGACCCCAAGGGCAGGCAATCACCAAGCAGCAAAAGAACCCTGCGGAGGCAGTCCCCAAACAGTTTATGGAAGATAACCCATAACTGCAAGGGCAGTACTTACAGGGCACTTAGGGAAGGTGACCCAAGGTGCATGCAGCTCCAGTACTTCTGGAATTACTCCTGGATCACACACCACCACACTGCAGCACAACACCATAAGGTACAGCACTGATCAAGACTTGGAGCCAGTGTCAATCGACCGCCACCCAACACAATAGCCTCAGAACTGGAGTTGGGTAGCTGGCACAGGAGGTCTGGGGGGCACCCCCTTCCCCCCTCCTGGGAAGGAGGAAGCTGTGCAGATAGCGAGGGGGTGGCTGTGGTGACATTATGCTTGTTTGCTTGTTTTTTGATTGGGGATTTCTGCCTGCTCGTTCGGCTTTTGGTTTGCAATTTTTAACCAGCTGGAGTTTGTTTTGGGATTCCTACTTTTCTGGGTACCAGGGTAGATGGCAGACTTACTCTGCTTCCAACTACACAAGGGTGTCAATAGGCCATTGCTCCTCGTGCCTCTCTGAGGAGGCAGGTTCTGGCTCGTGGTCCCCGGTAGGGTAAGAACTCCATCAAATGACAGTTGCCACTGTCTAATATATACACATCAGCCCAGTATAGCTCCGAGGAGCCGAAGGGGTTCTCCACAGAAAATACATAAACATTTTAAATAGAAGTACAGTAGTAGTAAATGTGGATATGAGTAGAAATGAGAAAAGAATGCAATAAAAAAATAAGTAAATATAGGAGAAAAGGGCAAGGTTGATTTTGCAATTATTCACCTTCCACCAACTCTAATTACCTAAAGAGATTTACATAAAAAATGACTAAGAACTTACTGACAACAGCAAATCATATGAGGTGCCATATTTTGGAGAAGACTCAAACAGATAGAATTCCTTTGGATCTTCTGACTTCTTTCCATAGCGGGTGGCTAGTAACTGAAAATAATTGATTAATTTAGATCAAAGTGAATACAGTACCGAGTTCTATAAAATCAACTAGTAACTCTTAGGTAGATGATGAGTCACAATAACGTGACTGAAGATAGGATGACCAAACCACACATCAGAAGATGGAGAACGACGATGTTTCAGTTCGTCCTGGGCCATTATCAGGTCATGTGTGAGACGACTTACACACAACTTGATAATGGTTCAGTGCGGACCAAAACATCGTCATTTCTCCATCTTCTGATGTGAGGTTTGGTCATCATGGTGCTACAGTACCTACTGGAAAACATAGGGGGTAGACAAAATGGTATGCAACTATAGCATGTTATGATCTCAGCCTGCAGGAGAAACGAGTCTCCCTCCTTGAGAGTTATTCGTCAAGCCTGACCTGATTAGAAGGTCTAGCAAATATTGAGGTGATAACGCATATGTAAAATAGTTGCTTGGATATGTATAACAATTTGAGATTATGGGCAATGAAGAAGAAAACAGATAAATGACTGGCTAGGAGATGTGGACATTTTGCTGGAGGCGTGAGGCTCGCTTCTGGAGGGGCTTTGACCTCACTTGAGGCCAGACATCGCAGGGGAAAAGCCGCGCTCCGTTGAGCTCCCGTCAGAAGGGAACCCCTAGTGATATATCTCGAAGAGAAGAGAAGTGTGCAGACGTACCAGCTGTGGAATCGAGCTGGGGACGTGTGGTCTCAAGTCGTGGGCGATAATTAGTGAATATTAAGCCACCCGGAGGCATTATTGTGGGCCGTGGAGCGCCCTGACCAAGCCTCGTCAGAGGAAGAAGCGCCCTCGACCAGACAATCTGTGGTAAGCACGATATACGCCAGTTCATAGTGATTGCTTGTAGTTGGTCGTGTGCCCAGCGACAGTAGCGATGTTTATTTATAAGTTAGACATGTTTTAATAAGGCAGAAGGCCTGAAATAAGAGAGTGGAGAGGGAGGAACACGGAGCGACGTCCATCCCCTCTGAGCGCTGGCGGGCGACTGAGGGAGCCTGGCTCCTGACAGAGGAAGACCCTCCCAGCGAGTGAGGACCGCCGCCAGGCGAGGTGGAGTATGGACCCGCCCAAAACGGGGGAGTCCACTCTCACTGTATGTAGAGAACAGATAGAGGTTGGAGGCAAACATATTGTGTGATTATTTTTGTTTATGTGTCAAAGGGGAAACAATTTTATTGGAGTGTCGATGGGTTGCAGGTTTGTCTTTGGGGAAGAAGTTGCTGAGAACTTCGAAGCCAGCATAGATGAAGTAATTGACGAGACTCCAAGGTAGTGAAGCAGAGGACCTCGAGCTGTGAGGGGAAGCAGTGAAGAGGAGTGTCACGTGCTTCTGTAGAGGTGGTGTAGCAGCCAAGAGAGCTGTGGAGGAACCTAGCAGAAGGGTGAAGCACCGTAGTTGCTCAAGGAAACTTCATGGTAGCAGCCTGGAGGAGCTGCAGAGGATCCTGGTAGTGAAGCCCGGAAGAACCTGAAGATATCAGGGTAGTGAACTTCCAGAGGTGGAAGGGGAAGTTCTGGTGGATTACTTATAGGGAGTTGATAGTGTTTGGTTGTCATTAGTGTGCAAGACGCAGTGAGAGGTGAGTGATTGTTGGCATTCTTATGTCAAGGAGTGTTTTATACTGAAGTTTAGAGTTACAGTCGTAGGCTGGATTACCTACAGATGTATGCGTTCCAGGACTGACAGTGATCGATTGATCATTGTTGTGTATCAATGAACATTTATACTGATATATGTTATTGCATTCAAATGCTGATTTTCTATATATATTATCTTGCTGATGGTGCAACAGTGTATGTAGACTTGATCAACTTGAGGTGGTTGATAGTATCAGGTGGTGAACCAGGAGATAGGATACCACTTGATAAGCTGATGATAGAGTTCTGATGGTGTTGGAGTGCAACCTGATTGTAATATTATAGAGTATAGGATTCATTATTATTATATGTGTGTATGTATCGTGTATGTGCTTTGTCCAGTAAATGTATCCCAATTTGCCGGTGTTTGCCCTTGTCCTAGTGAGGCTTCCCAGGAAGTAGTAAAGAAGGAGAGAGAGAGAGAAAGAACCAAGAACCACTGCTGTGGACAGGGTAAGAGGTAATACTAGTAAGTCATAGGGGATTGAGGAGATCATATCTCATAAGGAGAGAGTGGGGAGTCACAGCGGCTCGAGTGGGTGTGTGCACGTGACAACGAGGCTAAGCGTTGGAGCCGCATCCCCTAAACGTGTGAAGTTGAGCCCCTCTCCAAGAGCCAGAAGTGCCAAGGGTGATCTCCTAGTATAAGCACTCTACCGAGTTGTGGGTTGGGTTGTCCATAGAGAAGGATCAACGACGACAACACCAACCAACTCACAGTACTATAACAAGCAGGTATATTTTGATCATACCCAATCAGGTGATAGCATGAGATGCCATATTTCAGAATACACAAAATGTGGTATAATGATTACAAAGAGTACAATTATGAATAGAGGGAATATAATGAGTACAAGGAGTATAATCTACCACTCAGAAATAGGTGATTGTAGTACTTGCATAAGATACCTGAAAGCAGAAGCAGGTCCAAGACCCACAATTCCTGATAACTAAGAACTAGTCACACATTCTTTCTTCTTGAAACCAAATACAATGGTTTTCTCAATTCTTATTCAGCAGGAGCCAGGAACTTCATCTGTTTTGCCACACTTGAGTATGTTACGAGCCACAATAATGATATTACATAGAATATCAAGTAAAAACATAACACATCAAAACAAATTTAAATTATGCACTGTAAATATAAAACACACATTTATGATTTATAACATTTTTTAAATGAAAACATTTCTGCATTTCTTCTAAATAAGGTGGAACATACCTTAAGAAAGTCCTGAAGCAAACCTCGCTGCTCTATACTCTTGGCAGAAGTAGTGACAATTGCACTGGAGGGCACTGATCCCCAATTACATTGCTCATATTCGGTTATGGGACGACGGGTGCCATCTTTACACAGGAGTTCAAACTCGTCTTCTCTGTAGCAAGAATATAACTCAAATTAACCTTATTTATAACCAATTCCCATTTCATATCTCTAAGCATGTGAGAAATATATGTTGCACAAAAGAGAAAGCAAGAAGCTCCCATGTATGAAATAGAAATGACAAAAGAGCTTCCCCCTTCCAGACAGTGCTATCCTTGTATGCATCTCAAGCATGTAACATTCTTGGAAGCCTTCAAGAGATCTCTCTCTCTGTCTACTTCCACAATGCTACCTATCTGCGCATCACTGTAACAAGTCAAGCACATTAGAACACTGCTAGTGACAAGAAGGAAAATGTATTATTAAATAGCATTCCTGACAAATGTATGAGTAATATCACACAAACTGTAAAGTACACTGAAGCAGCCACAGTAAAGCCTCATTTTAAAAATAACTCAAGATGAGGTCTATTGCAAAAGGGAGACTTTTTGCTATACAGTGGTACCTCAGCTTACGAATTTAATCCATTCCCAGCGACGGTTCGCGAGCCAAAAATTTGTAAACTGAAGCGAATTTCCCCACAAGAAATAATGAAAACTGATTTAATCCGTTCCAGACTCCCCAAAAAATTAACTTCAAAGTAAATTTTATACCAAATTCACCCAAATCTTCAGTACTAAAGTATGTACAAGTTATTACTTACCTTTACTGATGACTCCTGTTGGCATATAAAGACAATAAGGAGGGGGAAGGAGGAGAGGTGTTAGTGTTTGGAAGGGGAGTATCCTTCCATTATAACATTAGACAGTGATGACTTTTCTGGGGTACTCTCTCTCTCCTATGTTTGCAGGCATACCACTAGAACCTGCTTGTGGCTCACTGCTTGATTTTCTCACTATAAAACAATCCATAGAGAATTTTTTTCCCTTCGTTGTAACACTTGTCTGTAGTGAGGCATCACATTGTCATTAAATAGTTAATGCAATGGCCTATTACAGCTTACTCTGGGTGAGTCATTTCAACAAAACTTTGCATTTCTTCCCACAGCCTACACCACTTCCTAATTGTTGAGGAAGGGACATTCTCTACTGCCTCCTCTTCCCCTCAAGACATTTCCTCAGCTGCCTTTTGTTGCAGCTCCTTGTGGTCATTCTCATGTGTTTTCTTGGCTTGAACCTTACCACTGGCTTTCTTGGGACCCATGGCGAGATATATAATAAAAAAATTTATGTTCAAATAGCCAAAAATCCGAAAAAACTAATTCTTTACAAAGAATTTAGGTACGATTGTCACTAGGCGGGAGGCACTGGTAAACTGAGGCACGATCACTGTGCTGCCAGGTCAGCCATACGCGTATCAACAAACTCGTTTCCAGAGGAAAAGTTCATAACCCGATTCAAATTTTCCGAAGAAATTGTACTCGCAACACGAAAAGTTCGTAAATAGGGGCATTCAGTAGCCGAGGTGTCACTGTACGTACTGTACTAATATCCTTTTCCCCGTGCATATCTAATGCAATGCTGTTATAAGATAATTTATAAGGAAAATTAAAAAAATTTTAGAACAGTACTGCCTATTTCTGGGATGCTGGTAAATGCTTGATAAGGCATGAAAGTTTTCTGAATTTCCTAACAAAGGTTTCTTTACCATAAACTGAATATTCAGTTTATTCATGCCATAGCAAGTTTTTTTGTATTCACCAAAAGAATAGTCTTAAGTGTATATAACAGGACTCATCACTGAAATTAATTTGTAGTCCTCCAACAACATTGACATGTCCATGCTTGATCCTTATGAATTTTCTCTCTCTGGTTCAATGGAGAAGGCACTGCAGGTACCACATTTGAAGGAGGCACCATTTTATACATTAGTAATCATTATTATACAAGTCTCTCTCCATTCAGCCATTTCCCTGAAAAGAACACTAGAATACTGTATGTGGAACAGTGAGGGCAGGAATGACACATACTGTTAACTCGGTAAAGATGCAAAACAAACTAATTAAAGTAAAAGTACAAGAGATTATAAACTTACGTTTTTGTTATCCCTCTTGCTGCCAGTGCTCTCCTGATGGTAGTGTGCTTGACAAAAGCTATGTCTCCTCTATCAAGCAAGCAATTGAATGCACCTTGGTAACCAGAATAAATGTCCCGACTCGTGCAGTGCTGCCCTGGAAGGTCACTGCCACAAGCACTACACAGAATTTGATTGTTGTCACCTAAGGAGGAAGGATACAATAAAACAAAATAAATATTCTAGGTCAATCTTTTTCCAGATGTAAAACACTGTTAATGCCACACTATGGCAGTGATGTGGTAGAGGCTGACTCCATACACAGTTTCAAATGTAGACATGATAGAGCCCAGTAGGCTCAGGAATCTATACGACAGTTGAGAGGCAGGACCAAAAAGCCAGAGTTCAACTCCCGCAAGCACAATTAGGTGAGTACTTAATAAAAATTCCTGTTTGGTGCTATCTTCAATGACATGCTTCAAGTCAAGTACTCAATGGTTTGATCTTGCTTTTTAGTCTCTTGGTGTGGCCAAGTATTACAAAAGTTTATGAATGAGCACAAAAAAATGTACAAAAACTGACGGAGTTATAGTTAAAGCACCTTTTTGAACAGATTACCGAGCTGCTCTTTAAGTCAAGATATGTCGAGTCCATAGGAAAGGATAAGGCACATTCAGAAAGAGTAACATTCTGGCACAAGTACCACAGTGAACTAGGGTGCCATAGGGAAAGGTTGGATGGATTGCACTTTCCTGAAGTGCCAATAAACCTTTGACATGATTCCCCACACAATGTGAATACACAAAATCTAAGTCGGAAAAGCAGACTGGGTTAACTGGGAAGACAGTGGACTGAATTAAAGAGTATCTGATAAATATGAAAGTGTGTTGTAATGAGAGAGGAAGAGTCAGGGTGGAGGGAAGTGGTAAGTAGTGTCATGCAGGGTTTGGTTTTTGGGCCCATTCTATTTCTGGGAGAGATGAGCCTTGGATCAAGAAACATGGAAGACAGGGTTGATAAACAAGATGTCAACCCACAATGCACAAGGAGCTTACAATTAATGCCACACCCCCAATCACAGGACATAATGCACCTCCAGCCAGATAAACCAGACCTTTTTAACTAAAGGACTACTCCAGTAAGGAGACATCTTATTCTTATCCTAAAATGAAGGAAAAGGTTGGAGCAGCAGAAAATGAAACCTATGCTCAAATGAACAAAAATCATACTTCCAGAGAAGAGGACGACACTCCCCCAACCCCTACAGCCAGAAGCAAAAGCCATGAAGAAAGCAGTTTTCAAAAATGGGATTTTAAACCGAAGGAGAAACCTAAAAGTGAGAAAACAAAATACAAAATCTTATTTAGTGACCAAGAAGGCTTCAGAGGGTTGTGAATGAGCCAGGGGAAAAAGAAAGGCACAGACAACTGGAAAGGGAGACAAAGAAACATCAACTGCAAAAACTAGAGAGGCTCCACCAAGATTGAACAATTTGAGGTGACAGAATTAGCCATCAACTGGCAATCCAAGAAGAGCTAGGAAATGAAAGTGCATCACAACATCAGCTGACAAAGATGGCATATGCCAATGGCTTGCAAAGCCACCTCATACTGCAGCAGTAAACCATCCATCAGCTCCTGCAAACACTCTGCTCAAATCTGTTTAGGAGCCCGCAAAAGAAGTTGGAACTCTGAACAAACCTTATTCTCCTCATAAAGCAACTGGCAATCAGTGGCCACACAAACAAGCTCAATCAAGGGTCAGAAGCCAAAACCACAAAGAGCAACCCCAAAAGTTGACCACAGACTGACAAGCCACTGCATAAGATGACAGCTCAGCAAAAACAGAAATTGCTCAAGAAGATTGCCAAGCCAATAACAGCAATCAATAAGCAGCACACACCCAAGGGTGAAAGGACTCTAACCCAGGCATGTCAAACTGAGGGTCCCCCGAGGGGCATATGGGTCACATTTGTGTTGTCATGAGGGCCACACACTACAACTAATTGAAGTCATTTAATAAAAACATTATTGCAGAATATTTTTACTACTTAAACTTAGAAACATACAATGCACATACAAATGGTTTAGCAGCTAGCAACATTCATGAAAGCAAAGTAATGAAGTACTGGTAATTCAACAAAGAAAAACCAGCGTTGAATGTAATGAAACGACATTTTCCGGGCGAGTCCCGGAGGTTCCCCGGAGCTATCCAGGCTGATAGTGATAGTCCTAACTTTTAGCTTCAGTCGATGCAGGTGGAGTTCTAGGCCTACGGGGGACCACAGCCAGAATCTGGTCCTTTCAGAGAGGCACGAGGAGCAATGGCCAATTGAAATACACGTGTGATTTTGAAGCATTCTATATCTGCCATCGACCGGGACAGGCACCCAGAAAGGTAAGCGCCTCAAAACAAACCCCTATCTGGTAAAACCAATGAAAATAACTTAACAAATGGACAGAACTCCCCCAAGGGAAAACGAGCAAACAGGCATGATATCACACGAACCGTGCCGCATGTCTGTGCAGCTTCCTTCTCCCCGGGAGGGGGAAGGGGTTAAAGTTTAATCAAAGAGGCAAAGTGACAAAGGCAGCAGGAGAGCTATTCAAGGTTAATAAAAAAGTCAGTGAGAAAAACTTCACAAGGCAGCATCATACAAGGAGGTAAGTGAGAAAGCCACAACAGACTGCTCAAACACACAGATTTGACAAAACTATCCCCACTGAATGAGGAATACTGACCAACCCACAGACAAACTGGCAGGCCATCCATAGAGGAAGTATCTTGCTTGAACAAATACTAACTCGGCCATCCATAGAGGAAGTATTTTGCTTGAACAAATACTAACTCCTGACCTTAACCATTTGGTGAGGAAAGGTGTATGCAGCAATGGACAATATTAATCACTGAACTCCACAGAAAACATAACTTTCGGGTGGGCAAGGAAGACAATACAGGTGCTAGGGAAGAGAACTTTGACAGCTGAATTTTTTACCCAGAATTTCCATAAATGAGCAAATTCAAAATTTTTTGCACCACAACCTGGTTACTCCCACTGTTTTCATCACTTACCTGCATACTCCAGCAGTTTTCCCTGATTATTCATGCCATTTACCTTTGCATTTTCATCCTTTACCTGCTTCCGGCATTTATTCGCACACAATGAACACAAATTCATTCAGATTACTCAAAGATTCGAGCAATTGTTATTTGGATTACTAAGCTCTTACAATACAGGGCCAACATGAAATGGAAAAGAAAAAAAAAAGCAATAGCCCAACTTGAAATGAAATGCTCCATGAACAGTCACAACAACTTTCTGAGTGTGTAGCTGATTGTGGGCCCAACGGAGGTGTGATCCTGGTTGCACCAAATGAGTGACTGATGGGGACACCAGGTGACCTAGGCTGCCATCCAGTGGCAGTCAGGTGCTTCATGGCTCAAGTGTTTAATGGTTCTTTGCCTTGTAGCAGCCACATTAAAAGATAATTTGGCAACTACTTAAATTATTCCCAAGCTATTCCACATAGCAAGAAATTCTAATTTAATTACTTTAATCCCAAGATTTCCATGAATCACTTAGGACAGACAAAAATAATCAGCAAGCTCCCCATCAGACCAAGTGAGGAGAAATTGAATCCAACACAACGTCAAGTGGATGCAGGTATAAGATGGGCTGAGACACTGCATCATACGTCTGGTTCCAACTTCCCCACTAGGCACTACAAGCCACATACTACAGAGCAGACAGCCACTCCCAGCCTCATTTAACCTCTCCACACTCAAGCTCTTGCTCTTGCCCTCCTTCGAGCTCTCCATCTCCGAGCTCGCTAAAGCTCTCGGCTTCATTCCAGCTCTCCTCTCCAGGCCTCATACAACCTCTCTGCTTCCAGCCACCTTCAGCATTATGTCCTACCTTTAACTCCAGTGGTTTAGTGACAAATGCTCTGGATATATCATGGATCTTACCCAACACCACTGATATGTATCAGCATAAAACATAACACTCGATGGACCACCATAAATATACAGTATATATTTAGTTACTAACTGTATTGTCACCAAAACAAACATAACCATAAAATAATAATACAGTTTTAGTCTTGTTTTCCTATGTGTTACTAATTTCAATGCAAGCATTTGTATGTTATAATATACTCAAATGTGTTAGTTTTTTTTCTCATACAGAGTCAGATTCTGGGCCTTGAGTGCATTTCAGAAGCCTAGTGGAATTTTCCCCAAGGCTTTACAACCCAAACAAAAGTGATTATCCAGTGGCATCATGGAATGTGCTTTAAAAACAGTTCTAAAATCTACCACCTGGTGGCTAAATGACCCAATAATAATATAATGGATCTTTTTCACATTAATACACAAGTCTTAAAAGTGTCAAGCTAATACACTAAGGCCTTCTCAAAATATTGAACAGATACCACAAATTTTTTGAAAAAATATAAATTCAGTGAAAATTATAAGGTATTTCTTCAGGGGGATACCTTAATTACAAGTACCTACCCAGCGGGTTATACTTTTTAGTGAGGATGTTTGCAGCACATCCACCACTAAAAAACTGAGATGCTGATTTGATGTGGTTATTGCAATCAACAATCTCCATGGCTCCTGAGCCGATGAGCTGAAAAGTAAATAATGATAAAGTTAATTAAATAAAATTACTTTAAATGAAAATAAGATGTAAGCAAGTCAAAAAACCAGCATTGAATGTAATGAAACGCCATTTTCTGGGTGAAACCCGGAGGCTCCCCAGAGCTTACTGGGCTGATATGCTAATGTCAGACTTTGGCATCAGTCATGTGTATGGAGTTCTGTGGGCCTACTGGGGACCACAAGCCAGAACCTGGCCCTCTCAGAGAGGCATGGGGAGCAATGGCTTATAAACACCCGTGTGGTTGGAAGCATTCTATGTCTGCCATCGACCGGGTCAGGCACCCAGAAAGGTAAGCATCGCAAAACAAACCTCTATTCTGGTGAAAATATTGCTACCAAACGCCGAACAACTGGATAGAACTCCCCTAAATGAAATGAGCAAACGAGCATGACGTCACACGTCGCCGTGCAGCTGTCTGCACAGCTTCCCCCCCCCTCCCTGGGAGGGGGAAGGGGGAACCTCAGACCCCTTGCACCGGCTATCCACCCATCAGTTCTGAGGCTCTATGTCAAAACACACACAAACCGCCGACTGGAGGGAGGGGGATGAGGGAGGGATGCCGTGGAGCTTCCGGGTCTCACCCAGAAAAAGGCGTTTCATTACATTCAACGCTAATTTTCTGGGGGAAGCCCCTTTGGCCTCCCCGGAGCTAACTACCCACAGGGAAAAAGATAGGAACTTACCCGGAAGGCGGTCGCTGCTCACTCCTTAACTCGAAGTCGAGACAACTGGCTGCAGCCACCGACCCAAGAGACAGGAACGACGAGGCCCAGTGACGTTCACTAGGTAACAAGCAGCCAGGAGCCTGTTCGACTGCCAAAAGCCCCATGCCCGAATGTCAACCCAGGACATGTTGACAAAGACAGCAGCAAGAGCAGCGAACTTACGAACGTCATGGGCACGGGGATAGATCGCAGGCTGGCTAGCCTTAATAATAGCCCCCACCCGCGAACAGGGAAGAAGGGAAACCGGATCAATCCAAAGCGCGTCCTCGGACACAGAAGCCGTGGCGCACAAATAACGACAAAGAGCCGCAACCGGATGCAAAACATGATGCACCCCCAGACTGACCAACCAAGCATCAACAACCCAGGGACCCCTCCGGAAAGCAGCAGTCTCATTCTTTGCCAGAAAAGATGGAGACGGCTGCAAACAAACAAAACCATCACGAAGACCGAAGGAGCAGAAACCCCTGCACCGGAGGAGAGCGTGAAGCTCCCCAACCCGATCCCCAGAAGCCAATGCCAACAGAAAAAGAGCCTTGGAGAAACAATCCTGAAACGAAGGGGCCACAACAAACCGAGGTGAAAAAAGAAAAAGAGAGCACTCTGTCCAAAGACCAGGACAGCTCGGGTTATCTTGAGGTTATCTTGAGATGATTTCGGGGCTTTTTAGTGTCCCCGCGGCCCAGTCCTCGACCAGGCCTCCACCCCCAGGAAGCAGCGCGTGACAGCTGACTAACACCCAGGTACCTATTTTACTGCTAGGTAACAGGGGCATAGGGTGAAAGAAACTCTGCCCATTGTTTCTCGCCGGCGCCCGAGATCGACCCCCGAGACCACAGGATCACAAGTCCAGTGTGCTGTCTGCTCGGCCGACCAGCTCCCAACTCGCAGCGACGTGTGACGTCATGCTCGTTTGCTTGTTTTTTTTAGGGGAGTTCTATCCAGTTGTTCGACTTTTGGTAGCAATATTTTCACCAGAATAGGGGTTTGTTTTGGGATGCTTACCTTACTGGGTGCCTGACCCGGTCGATGGCAGGCAGAATGCTTCCAACCACACGGGGGTGTCTATAGGCCATTGCTCCCCATGCCTCTCTGATGGGGCCAGGTTCTGGCTCGTGGTCCCCGATAGGCCCACAGAATTCCATACACATGACTGATGCCAAAGTCTGACTGACATTAGCATATCAGACTAGTAAGCTCCGGGGAGCCGAAGGGGATCCTCCCAGAAATTAATTCAAATGTGTAAGATTTATATTGAAAATCTGCAATGAGAAAGAATATTAAAAGAAGAATTAGATGTTCCCTGCAAGCTATGGTACAAAAGAAATGTGAAATTTATTTAGAGGGAAAATTTTTTGGCATACCTGGAGCATACCTGGATAGGGTTCTGGGAGTTGTTCTACTCCCCGAGTCTGGCCTGAGGCCAGGCAGCTTCACACTCGGCTCATATATATAGCTCGCCTATCACTGGCACTATAAGATACAAATGTATATATAAAATTGCTTTGTGTGAAACGTTTGAGCTGCAATCACTAAAAATATTTGTGTTAACACAGATGTTTGTTTAGGTACAGGAGATGGTGACTTCTGATTCCTGTTAGCAGGATTAGGGCTTTTCTTTCCCAAAGAACATGTGAAACTAAACCGTATTAGTTTACCCTGGAACCCTACCCACCCAATTAACAACCAGGTTCCCAATTTACTGCTGGACAAACAGAGGCAAACAGTTTAGGATTGGTGCCCAGTCAACCCTCGATGGGTAGGGCTCAAATGGAGACAAAATCACTGAGGTGGTTATCTTGAGATGATTTCGGGGCTTAGTGTCCCCATGGCCCGGTCCTCGACCAGGCCTCCTTTTTGTTACACACCCCCAGGAAGCAGCTGTTTAACTCCCAGGTACCTATTTACTGCTAGGTGAACAGGCACATAAGGGTGAAAGAACTCTGCCCATTTGCTTCCACCTCCACCGGGGATCGAACCCGGAACCTCACGACTGCACCCCAAAGAGCTGTCCACTCAGCTGTCAGGCCCCTAGGTGTGTAATGCTGCTCAGAAAACTACCACTAACTAGCTTACCAGTCCCTATCATAAATTATCTAGATACTGCACTTGTAGACTGCTCCAGCTAAGCATCAACATATGAGAATCAAGTAAGCAAGGCTCATTTTGTCAAACAACCAGAGTGATTTTGCACATTTTCAAACATTTCTTTCAAAATTAGATCAAATCTACTAATATTAAGACATTTTATTGACATACCTCTGACATGGGTATGATCCAGCCACCCAAGGATGCCACAGAGGGAAAGCATGCTATAGTGCCAGCCAGATCCTTCAAACTTTGTACTGAAGTTAGGTTACCTTTGTGCACCACAGCCACCGAGTAATAAAGTTTGAGCCCCTCTGAAAAGAGAAACAAATTGTTAAAATATCAATTATACTGCCAACTAAATACAGTGTTAAACTACATTGTGTAACTTAAGCCTACAAGATGCCAAACTATTTTGCCAGTTAACTTAAAAACTCACTAGAAAGATTTTCTATATTTCATATTGATGCAATTTTCTTCAGAATTCAGTTAAATCATATTATTCTTAACCCTGCACTAGTTTCCAAAGGCTAGTAAAGTAGGGGAGATTCATAACAAGTAAAAACTAAATGAAAGATTGTCCTTCAATGAATAAACTTAAAAGAAATATGAAGGGTCCCGGTAGTACAGTCGGGTTCGTTCTCGACACACACAATCAAGAATTCCAGGTTCGAATCCCAGTTGGAGATTCTGGAAATGTGCCCAACAGAAATGATTGGGCACATTTCCTTTCACCTGATGCAGCTGTTCACCTAGCAGTGAGTAGATACTCCAGGAGTTAGTCAGCTTGTTGTGAGGTTGCATCCTGGGCGGGATCAGTAATTCGGCCTTGGGGAGGAGGGGGGGACCTCGGTATAAGTCTACCGTGTATGAATACACTCTGACTTTCTGTCTCCCTTCACAATGAATTATTATTAATTATAAACTAATTTTATCAATTTAAAAATAAAGCACCGAGTGAAATGAAATTCCCCCTTTCTGAGCACCTTATCTCCTTAGCCGTATCCACTAGACTTCTTAGGATAGACACATTACTGCCAGACTAAGTGATTCCAAAAGCAATGAGACAAAGATTCATGAAAACTGTCTTGTCCCATACATAAATGGGGTGGGGAGCTCAGTGGAGAGCATACCTCAATCCTCCATAAGGTAAACACTAACTATAACAACAAATCCTTCAAATCACTCAAAACTCTCTCCAAGCAAATCTTGGAGACAAAAAATTGGGGGGTCTGAGACTTAATTACTCAGTGTATAAGCTAAAGAAGGTACTGAGGGCCCTCCCAGAAAACTTATCAGTGCTATTCCATCCAAAATAATGTGAAATATAGAAGTAAAATGCTTATTAATGCAAGAATCATAACATGTAAATTTTAATTGTATAGTGCCCAGTATACATGAATTTTGGACACGTCCTAGGGATTAGGTGGCACGTGGCCAGCAGTTACCATGATTTTTGCCAGCGTCACCTTCAATGCCAAATGCTGCCTCCCCCATTCATTATTTACATCCACACTATTATATCATAAAATAATAAATCTAATAAATATATATGGTGATATAATACCACGACCTATAAATAACATAGCATATTTGTATCTTATACCAAGTGAGGAAATGCTGATTGCCACTTGCAATAACCATACAATGGTCAAGATCATTCTCTGAACCTAATAAAATTAATCGGTGCTATCCCATCCTAAATAACATAAAATGGAAAATAATAATATTATTAATGCAAGAACTTGTAAACACTTGGATAAAATGGCGTGTTTGAGCGTTGGCAAAGAGAGACGACCTAACACTTCCTCTCTGATAGCCTTAGGTTACCTAGGCATGCCCCCTCTTCACTTTACCTCAAAACTTTTTTTCTGTGTAGACATCCTCTAGTGTGCATTTATATGGATAAACAGGGTTGCACTGGGCGAGTGTTAAAACATGAAGCAAATCATATTTTGACAAACACCCTTTTGAGTCAACAACCAAAAAATAAAGAGTTCATCATACAAACATGGAAGTCATCAGACCATTTAAAATTTTAAATATGATTGCAGAAGAACATACAAACAATATTCACTAATGGTGAACTTACTGTAGTAAGATTCCCTCATGATAGGGACAAGCGAGTGATAACGGCCCGCAATGTATACTTCTTGAGGGTCCAGCGCAACTAAGTCAGCTAGACCATTATCCACTAATTCCATACACTCATCATGGTTGCCCATCTATGTTGTGCAGAAGGAAGAAAAATACACTCATTTTCTATTAATACAGCATAGACTATATATTATAGATTTTCTCTATAATAATACATCAGAATTACGTATTTACAGACTTATGGTCCTACAGTTTAATTTATTATGCATTAACTCAATTTCAACTAGTCTCCTACCACACATCAAAACATGCCAAGTCTCATATAATCAAATAAAAATAAATGGCTGGCACAAATATAGTACAGTACATCATATTATACTTCACTTTCACTCTAATGTTATTGCAGTGCCCATTCCCATACAACAAATTAAACAAATTATTTATCTGATCCTTAATTTCAAGATTCCAAGAATAATATAGTACTTTTAATTTTTTTTAAATACTGTATAATGCATTATAATCTGAATAATTATTATGTAGATATGTATACTTAGGTGTGAATTAAATTTTGTCTTAACTTACCTCCACACACTCGACCTTGGTAAACGTGTTGCTGAATTCAACAAAATCTTTTTCAATAGCCTGTGCCATTGCATTACACTTCTTCTGTTCTGGTGGAGAAACGGTACACCAGCGTACGGGCGCCATCAACAGTCCTATTAATAAATAGTAAAAATAATGACACCATTTCCTAGTGTGAAGGTATCTTTAAATTTCAGTCACAATTAATAATGCATTTATAAATTCAGTAATAAAATATATAAAGAGTATTCTGGTCTTCAGTTTATGCACAAAATAGAATTATATCATTACTGTAGATAGTTAACATTTATTGTACAGTATATGAACTGTGTAAAATACAGTATATATACTGTATGTTTAATAAGCCAATATTGTGCAAAGCATTTCAAGGTTAGGCTAAGTTATGATCGGTGAAGATAGAAGCAAAGAGCACAGTGCTACATAAATATAGAACAAGATCTATGAGTTAGTAAGAATAGTCAGAACCTACGTGATAATTCATTTTAATCTAATTTTATAACACAAATTTTCCCTCCTTCAAGGCACTCATTAATGAAGGGAAACACTAAAAAACAAAAAGAGCTGTGCTGTACTGAAATGATAGAGTATACACAAATACTCATCTAGTTGTGCTTGCAGGGGTTGAGCTTTAGCTCTTTGGTCCTGCCTGGTTCCTTTAGCAGTTCCTTTAGCAAGTTCTTCCTGATCTAAAATAGGTGGCTACTTACCTAACATATCCTAACCTAATTTAATCTATTCTTTTCTATCCATTTCCTAACACAACATTGCCTAGTTTAACCAGACCAAACTCACCCAAAATGTTTAAAAAGGATATAGGTAATTAGCTTGGGGGTACTAGTTCACAAGAGTGCGATTCATCCAGGTAAAAAGACTAAACAAAAAGCTCAACAAGCCACAAGGTAGGACAGACAGCAGAGCTGCTTTTTTCACCCAGATAGCAGTAAACCCATGGAATCAACTACCCAGTGAATCCATAAATGCCAAGCCAAGACTCCACTTTAAAATTAAAAAAAAACACACAGGAATAATAGGGGAACCTTAGACAAACTGCCAGTTTACTATCCCTGCCAAAAGAATAGCGATTTAAAAGATTCTACGAATGGTTATTCTACACCATCGCTAATATTTCAATAAAGCTAACCTAACTTATTTTGTAAGTTAACCTATCCTAACAAAAATTATATATAATTATTGGTATATACCCCCATGAGTGTGCATTTGTCATTGTGACAATCTGGGTGCCATCAGAGATCTTTTAGGATACTACTTCACTAAAGCCAATAAGCCCTAGAAATGGTGACATCCAGGCATCAATTTAAACACGAAAACGTTGACTAGGCCTACCCTCATTACACTTCTTATAAAAAAGTCTTATCCACAACAAGCTTGTGTAAAATACCAAAGGCATTCCAATTGCGATTTCAACTTGAAAAATCTAATAATTATGTGACTCTTGGCAAAATAGTTTCCCCTAAAACACTCCCACCATCCTGTACTGCGGTTGCCTGCTCTCAAGAAGTCCGGGAAAACAAATTTGCAAAACAAACTAATAACAGTTAACAGCAAGTCTCCATTTAGGTTTATTGGTAATATAACTGAAAATAAAACGAAGTTATTTAAGCTGGAAATAACGGCAGTTCAAAAAAGGTTTATGGCGAGCGTCACCTGTTGGTTTCAACAGGATGTAAATAAACCATGAGACGCCTAACATATATCGCCTCTAATACACCTAAAACAACACGTAGATCAACAAATAACTCCTAGTCGTCTCAGACAAGCAACAGTTGTGGCTCTTACCATTGGCCAGGACGACCAGGGAGGCAAAAACGGGTACAATTTGCCTCATTTTGACAGATGAGGGCCGCACCCTGCACAGTTCAGCCTCAGTCCCCGCCACATTGTGTTCCCCAGGACGCTCTACCTCCCATCCATCAGTCATTTATTTATTCCATGTAATTTATATACTGAATTGTATTAGGACTTTGTGTAGATCAAATTATCTGACTTATAACACCCATATCGTCTCTGCAAAAACTAAAACTAACACGTTGAAAGCTAGGGCCATTTATATATATTTTTTTAATTAAAATATTAATTCCATATATGTATAACACATCAATTTACTTAGCAAAGGAGTATGTGCACCCTATTTCCCAGGGAATATATACAGAGTTTACATTCCATTAACCTGGGCTCTAGAAGACTCGAATCGTAGACAACCACGTGTATGAGGACGAAGCTCTATCAACCGAGCTATTGAGTGGTCTTAATAAGGAAAGACTACTTAATAGTGTTTATTTCCACGGAAGTGTGGCTGACAATTTTTATACAGAGTTTACGTTAGTCTTGGGCTATATGTTCCAGGCTATATAGTGTACAATACACAAACAACAGTTAAAGATGGTGCAGTCACAGCCTATCATGCATTCGAAAGACAATATAGGCCGTGACTGCACTAGCTAATTACTGAACTGATGAGTTAGCCAAAGATTAATATGCCTTCAAAGGAGTGACTCTAACCTTGTACATACGCCATACTTCAAAGGCGTGACTATAATCTTAATTGTGTGCACCCCTATTTAAAAAAAAAAAAAAAAGTCGGAAAGAGCTCAGCAGAACAAAACCGGTCGATCAGCCTGACATCACACATCTGTAAGCTCAGGGAAATTGAAATTGAAAGCTCAGGGAGGGAATCATTCACCATCTTTCAGTGAACAACTGTGTACAATCGACACAACATGGATTTGTTAAAAACTGATCCTGCCCTACAAATTTGCTCAAATTTTTGGAAAAGGTAACCAGCTAATCAGACAAAGGCCTTCCGGTGAATGTAGTATACATGGATTCTGCTAACGCTTTTGATAAGATACCACATGAAAGACTGGCAAGGAAATTTAAGGCCAATGGAATAAATGGTAAAATATAAGAGTCGATAAAACAATGGTTGAAGGAAAGAAAAAGTGTTGTGTTAAATGGAAACGAATTGGAATGGAAAATGTGATAAGTGGGGTACCACAAGGGTCGAATTTGGGACCTACCCTTTTTATCATCTACATCATTGACATAGATGAGAATATTACAAACTACATCATCAAATTTGCAGATTGAAATTGAAATTGAAATAAGTTTATTGAGGTAAAATACACACAAAGGGATGAGGTAGCTCAAGCTATTCTCACCCCAGATACACAATGATTTATGGTAGTCGGAAATGATAACGATATTAAAGCCTTATTACAAAGAGATCTACATGAACTCTGCAAATGGTCAGAAGACTGGCAAATGCTTTTAATATCGATAAATGCAAGACCATGCATGTTGATCCATACAACTTCTTAAAAAGGTCAAATGTAACACAAACAAGGAGGAAAGGTTTCAAGCTCAACAATCTACAATGTAGGAAAGAAAACAGGAGATACTTTTTTCACCTATGAGGCTATAAACCCATGGAGCCACCTACATGGACGCGCTGGAAGACAGAAGAGTTAGAGGGGACATGATTACCTTGGAATTGATAGGGTAAATAAAGACAGACTATTTAACTCAAGGGGCACACGCACTAAGGGGACACAGGTGGAAACTGAGTACCCCAAATGAGCCATAGAGATATTAGAATTTTTGTGTGTGTGTGTCAGAGTAGTTGACAAATGGAATGCATTAGGAAGTGATGTGTTGGAGCCAGACTCCATACACAGTTTCAAATGTAGATATGATAGAGTCCAATAGACTCAGGAACCTATACACCAGTTGATTGACAGTTGAGAGGCGGGACCAAAGAGCCAGAGCTCCACACCCACATGCACAACTAGGTGAGTACATGAAAAGATTGACAAATGCTTTCAGCATTGAAAAATACTAGATCTAGCAAGTAGGGCATAACAATTCACATCACACCTGTCATATCAACAATACTACCATATGCAACAGAATGATGAAAATTACCTAGGAGTTAGGAGTCACTTGCACAATAACTGGAAGCTGCAGTAAATAAAAAAATCCAAACCTTATGAATAGTCAAACGAACTTTTGACTTGATGGAAAACGAAGTGGTTATTCATTTGTACAAGTCTCTGGTGACCCCTCCCCACATCACGATTACTGTATCTAAGTATGGAGACCTCACATTCACATTCAAAAAGACATTTGTTTTTTGAGAAAGTTAAACATAGAGCGATAAAAATCCTTGAAGAATTAAGTCAACTTTCATACCAGGAAAGTTTGAGGGCCACAGGGTTAACAACATTGCTAACCGGACATAAAGGGTTGATCTAATCAAAAAGGCAGAAAGAGTGATCATCCTAGCTTCCATAATTTGAATTGTTTATCATGCTCACCCTCCAGCTTCATCTAGTGACACCAACAACACGTTATCGTACATAAATTATAAAATTATATTTATTATTGAATTATAAAGATTCGAGAACTGCCATTGAAACCTTGCAACATGAGCACTTACGTAACAACAACATCTGTTTGACCACAAATATCATAGTATTAATGCAAAGACTCAGACGTCAAAGTCATTGAATACTTACCTAGTTGTGCTTGAGGGGGTTGAGCTCTGGCTCTTTGGTCCCGCCTCTCAACCGTCAATCAACTGATGTACATTTTCCTGAGCCTATTGGGCTCTATCATATCTACACTTGAAACTGTGTATGGAGTCTGTCTCCACCACATCACTTCCTAATGCATTCCAATTGTCAGCTACTCTGACAATGAACAAATTCTTACTAATGTCTCTATGGCTCATTTGGGCACTCACCTTCCACCTGTGTCCCCTAGTGCGTGTGCTCCTTGTGTTAAATAGTCTGTCTTTATCCACCCTAACAATTCCTCTGAGAATCTTGTATGTGGTGATCATGATCCCCTCTAACTCTTCTGTCTCCCAGTGACGTGAGGTTTAATTCCCGTAGTCTCTCCTCGTAGCTCATAACCCTCAGTTCAGGTACTAGTCTGGTGGCAAATCTTTGAACCTTTTCCAGTTTAGTCTTATGCTTGACTTGATATGGACTCCATGCTAGAGCCGCATACTCTAGGACTGGTCCGACATATGTGGTATACAATGTTCTGAAGGATTCCTTATACAAGTTTCTAAAGGCCGTTTTTATGTTGGCCAACCTGGCATATGCCGCTGATGTTAAGGGCATATGCCAGGTTGAGAGAGAGAGAGAGAGAGAGAGAGAGAGAGAGAGAGATAGAGATAGAGATAGAGATAGAGATAGAGATAGATAGATAGATAGATAGATAGATAGATAGATAGATAGATAGATATATGACTTGAGTGGCAAGTCATGCAAGAATACTAGGGGATGACATTGCAGATGAAGCTGCAAAATTTGCAAAAAAAGATGGAATGTATAAACATTTACATACCACAAAGTATAGCACTTGTTAAGAAAATAATTAGAGATTGATCATTTCAATATGTGTAACTAGCTTATGAGAATTGTAACTTACAAAGCTATATGTGAATTTTGGGACTCAATTCCTGAGACTATATGTTCCTCCGACGTTTTTCCAATATTACCCACGGGAGGGTATATGGGGTACATAATAAATGAAGAAAATCAATTACATGTCTTAATTAAAACACACGTAAGCTTCCACAACTAATATTTTAAACATGTGTGTATGAAAATACACCAGTTTGACATTTTTAATGATATTTAACTCAGGAAAGAATGTGTACAAGTTCCAATTGACTTTCTATTCTCCGCCACTATACGACGGGATATTGCAACAGGAATAGGGATACTGTAGCAGGAATAGGGGATATTAATAAGCAAAAATAGGGATATTGTAGCAGGAATAGGAGATACTGTAGCAGGAATAGAGGATATTAAGCAAAAATAGGGGAGGGGATATTGTAAAAAATACGAATAATTTACAGGTAGGAACAACAGTCAGAAAGCTAACCAAGTTCTTGGAATAATCAAGCATACTTTTGACTTTAATGAAAAGAAGGTAATGATTCAACTGTATCAATCTCTGACCTCGCCACCGACACCCAAACACGGAAAGCAACCGCCTCGCCCCACCAACCAGCGACCAGCTGATGCCATAAACACAACAACACGCTCTACAGAGTGGCCAGACGAACTCTGCATCCACTGTCAGGTGCCTGAAACAATCGAACACTATCTCCTACATTGCTTCCGACACTATAGTGCCAGAGTAAATTTCAAACAAGAACTTATCTCACTTAAAATACCCTTTACCATCGAGCATATATTAGGAGGCGGTGACCACTCGTTACAAGAAAAATACCAAATAGTCAAAGCACTGGCTAAATATCTCCAATCGACCAACAAATTGGGTCACATCTGACCCGCGCCACATTTATACCTGGCGCCACCAACAGCTAAACACAGAAAACAAATGTTTCGTCGCAACACCAAGGATCAGCTGACGCCATAAACACAACACACCGCCCTACGGTGCGGCAAGTCTCCCTTTAACATCCACCTCTGTTTTAGTCGCCGCTCCTCTGTCTACAGCACAACGCAACAAGCACTTTTGAAACTCTTATCATCTTCAACATAAACGCCTCTACCAACATCTGTACTGGTGCAGTCATCGGGAGGACAAACCCTTCATGCAAACTGCACCTACTATCAAGAAGAAGAAGAAGAGTGGCCAGGCTCCTGTCACACGTGCACGTGTTTAGTTGCCGCTCCTCTATCTCCAGCACACGACAACACACGCTCTTAATACCTTGTTATTCTTAACACTGACGCATCTACCAACATTTGTACTACTGCAGTCATCTACCAAGAGGAAGCATTTAAACTACAGAGAGGAAGATGCTCCGTCGCGCCTTGATGAAATCTAAACCAATTCTCATGCCTAGGTAGTGCTACAGTCTTCTGGACTTTGTGCCTTTTGATAATTACTACTTACTCATGCATAGCTACGGTCAGAGTAGACTATTGCTGTTGACTCGCAGGGTACAGGTCCCACAATAACTTTAGAAAGCAGGTGCAATAGGTACGGGAGAACTATGAATTTCAGGGGCCCCAAGACTTTTCCACTCGTTACACATAAAGGACTTAATGGACTAAACCCCTCACATGATCAAGACTTGACAGACAATTTCAAGGGTTAACTAATCAACCAGCCTGTGATTCACGTCCGGCTGCGAGTAGTTGAGTTTAACAATCCGGTTGATCAGACAACCAACCAGGTCGTGGGGATGTTGATCCTGAGAACCATCACAAGATAACTGCAAGATGTTGAAGTTACAAGATGTTGCTGCATCTTAAAATTTAAGTATATAGTAATTTGGACAGTCAAGTTAATTACCAATTGGTATGGCACGTAACTGGATGGGTGGTCACACACTCGTCACCTAAAACTCGCCTAATCTTGTAGTATGCATTAGTGCCCTCTTTCCCCTGCTAAATAAAAGTTTCTGATGAACAAAGAATTTAAAGCCATAATCACCATGTGGTATTTCAAACATCACTTCATCTTGAATTCTAATTTTAAAAAAATTAATTTTTTTTTTTTTAACTATTTTTGCACACCAAAACTAGAAATAACATACAGAACACTATATGAAAGCAAGTGCCACATGGGTCATTATGGCTTTAAATTCTTTGTTCATCAGAAACTTTTATTTAGCAAGGGAAAGAGGGCACTAATGCATATTATAAGATAGGTGACTTTAAGTGAATGCAAATCAAGTGCACAGCCTTGATTTCTAGCACGTCTTGCTTGGTGTTTGAACCTGGGCATTTTCTTGCAGCTCTGCTTGTTTCAGCCGATTGGCCGACAATGTGTTTCGCTAGTTCAACCTTCTCTGCTCTTCGCATCTCGTGTATCTGACACATCTATTGTCACTTATATGATGAGCAGGTAACTGAACTGTTGGTGTCCCACCAATATCTTTCTTTGTGGCAGCATTATGAAGTTGCCTGGTGCTTGTTTTACCGGTCCGTCTAATTACCACAAGCTACCACAAACTACACAAACTTCAGAAAGCTTCCTGGCAATACGTTAGTAATGAATAAATATGATATATTTACTCATTATAATGTTGGTGCTGAATGTACAACACGAAAAAACATAATTTTAATCTGAAAAAGTATCTTTTTATAAAGAAATTAGACGAAAATAAAAAGCTGGTGACGCCAAATCAAGTCGACGATCCAAGCTTCGGTTAGGTTAGGTTAGGTTTGGTTAAGTTAGGTTAGGTTAGGTTAGGTTAGGATAGGTTAGGATAGGTTAGGTTAGGTTAGGTTAGGTCAGGTCAGCCTAACTTAATATATCATATTTATTCATTACTAACGTATTGCCAGGAAGCTTTCTGAAGTTTGTGTAGTTTGTGGTAGCTTGTGGTAATTAGACGGACCCTGTTTTACTGCTATCTGTGTCTTCATTGTCTTTCATTGCTTTCAATCAGGGTTGTCCTGACTGTTTCGTCTTGGTTGTTTCGTGATCAGCATCTCTTGCATAATACTGTTGCCTGTTATCATTTGGCATTAACAGAACTGCTGTTGCTTGCATTCAGCATCGACACTTCCACATCACCATTCCACAAGATCTTTGTTTTTTTTTTTAACCTCTGGCTGGCTCATGCTTCTCCTAAACTGTCTTGAACAGGTTTTGAGTTTTCTCTCCTCACCTCAGTTTATGGTTTACCCTTCAGTGCCTTCCTTAAGGCGATGTTCTTGTTGGAACTCGGCACCAGTTGTAAGGTTGGGGAGCTTCAGGTTCTTCTCAAGTGGCAGGGGTTCTGATCTTTTGGCCCTGGTGGGCAGTTTGTTTGTAGCCTTCTCCTTAATTTCTGGTGACTTTGAAAACAGAAGATTCATTGGCTCCATGTATAGGATGCAAGGTTCTAGTTTTTTTTACTTCAGATATTATTAAACTACATTCAACATTTCTAGTAACAAGAATCAAATAGATCTGCTCTAACTCATCTTAGGGCTTCTCGGGGTCTCATTGATATTTGTTTGACAAACTGTGAATAGACTGTTGATGTATACTGTATGTTAACAAACTCTAACCAGCTCATCCATGCTGAAGTTGCATAGCTAAATAAATTTTGGGGGTTCTGTTCCTGAGCCCAGTATGCACCTCTGTAACCTTTTTCACTGCCACTAACAGGATGGGTTTTGTTTACATAATAAATTATGGGCTCATATTTTATAATCATAATCATTTCATGAATGGGTCCATAATAAATTATGGACCTGTAAACACTTTTACCTGTAAAAGTGTTTAAAGGTAAATTAACTAAATTGAATAATAATAGCTTGCAGTAAATTGTAGGATGTAAACAAAGTTGTCTGGAGTTAGATTGTACATATTGTTACAAGGAATATATCCTTACATAGAATATGGGGACCTACCATGTGTGACATACATAATCTATCACCCTCATTTCCTTGCTCTTATCTCTAAACTTGCATAATTATCAAAAAATTTGCTGTAAACAATATTCATATGAGGAGGAATGATGTTTGTTTTAATTACCTACATACAGTTTGCAGTATCCATTTAAGAGATGCTACAGTGTCTGTTTTTAACAATTTGATTACTACTAGTTTACTGAACTATTTTCTGCAGCTATAATTAGGCTTTTAAGCTTTTTTACCAGGTAATTATACACAATTTCTTCCCAGCTTGGATCTCTTCAACTCGGCTCAGGCATACTAGATATTTGGAATCATTACTCACTCCTCACTACAATTCATTATAATGCATCAAAGTAAGCAAACCTAATGTTAGTTCACATAAAACTTCTTTATGATAGCAATTTGCTTCAAAGGTAGCTGATCTGTTCAACTTTATTTTTGTCTATAAACCTAATGGAATTGTGGTTGTAATTTTGTTATATCAACAGGCCTAAGATCTGCACATCACAGCAACAGTGTTTACAGTCGTCTGATAGAGATCCTGGAAGTATTGTGAAAGTGTTGAACCTAGATGTGGATGCTGGACTTATGGTGGATGCCTACAGCCAGGTCAGTTGTTAATGCCCAGCATCTTGAATATGGGAACCCAATAATAGAATTAATCATCATGACTCTTCTGGCTATCCATTTACAGTATCTGTCGACAATTATATTGGGCACTCATTAAAATGTCTAATTTATAATTTGCTACTGCAGTTGTATGTCAGTCTATTTGTGATCCCTTTAGCTTTCTTAATACGTACAGGTACTATACAGTATAGGAAAAACATGTATTTATGAAAATATTTTTTTTTACAATTAAGTACTGCCTTGACATCCTCTTGCTCTAATACTATACTGACAATTCCAGCTTGGTTTTCGACTCAACAACGGGATGTCTGTGATTGGGCCTATTGCAATTTTCCCCAAGACAGTGCTAAGTTGGAAGGTCATATCTTCAAAAGACATCAATGAAAACTCACTTTCCCTTTTTTATTTATTGGAGCCAAAAATAGGTAAGTTATATTTTTGCTTCATATTTGTATAGAATGAGGGAATGCCATGTGCCTGAAGAAAGCTGGAATTATGAAAGCTAAACTAAGCAAATATAGAGTAATAATATAATAAGTAATTAGGAATTGCATGTTTAAGGTAATGCAATTGGCAAAATGGCACAATACAGTAATTTACCTTGTATCTAGATACCTCAGGACAGAGATGGCTTGTATAACCCATTGTTTGAGTAATTCAGTCACCCATCTTGAAATATGTAGATGTTTAATAGTAATAAACAAACGTGTTATGAATTCAAGTTGAAACATGATGCTCCATTTAGCCTTAAAATGTTTGAAAAGTGATATACATATAGTAGATACAGTAGATTCCAAATTACAGCACCTGGATTCCCATTTATTCAAATTCCCAGATTAGCTGAGCATAGAAATTTCCAGTTCTCTACCCCTGTTATATATGAAGTCTGGACAGCATTCAGTGGTAGGTTTGTGAGTGGGGGAGGGGGGAAAGTGAATGGATTTGGTATGAAAAAGATCATATTGTTAGTTTTACCAGTATTTTTAAAAGGCTGAGGTGTGGGAATGTCAATTGGTTATTTTTGAAAAAATTAAATTCATACAAAAATGATAGTACAGTATGTACAGTGGAACTCACCTGAATGAACTACATGGGGTGAGGCAGATTCATAGTATAAGGGATTTCATTAGACCTGTCAGACCCTAGGCAACACCAAGTTGATACTGTAACAAGAAAATATTCTGAAAGGGCCTACATCCACTGTACTACATATACAGATTTGTCATTTAGTGTAGTGAAATTTCTTCATAATACATAACTCTGAGATACATTTAGGTATCTGTCATAAGTCCTCTTTCTCCAACACTAATATAAACAAAAAAGTTACAAAATTTGTTTATTATGCATTCTTCATTTTGACCAGGGCATATGATAGAACAGACATTGGCAAACAATTCCATTTATTTATGGGTACACACGTGTAATCAACAGGATTTGAAAACTCTGTCAACCAATTGTTGACTACCCGTACATTGTATGAATATTTCCTTGCATTCCTTCGGCTCATTTGCATTTCCAGCATCCACCTGTGTCCTCTTCTATTTTCTCTCAATTTGAAGAAGCTGTCCTTGTCCCACCTTGTTTATTCCCCCTCAATATTTTATGATTCTATCCACTCCGTTTCTTCTATCATCTAGAGGTTATGAAATTTATTTCCTTTAGCAAATATTGTTATGCCAGAGAGAATCCCAGGAAGCAATCTAAATGAACAGTTACACACAAATGACCTCTTGCAGATCTGTCACAGATTTGCTTTAAACCAACAAACAGTAGAACCAGCTAGAAAGAAAAACACCCAAGTTCTTATTTTTACAAACAATGATGAACCGATTAAGGACATAATGATTGCAAATGTACGTTACTTAGATTACAACCTAATTGAAGTTCAGACAAGCATGACCTTAGCAGCCAGTCTCAAATCCAAGAGGAGGAAGGAGAATTTAGCAAATTCAATTTCAATAACTGATCAACTGGGAACGAATAAACCCAGACCTCGCATAAATATGCCGAGAAAAACAGGTAGATAATGCAACCTTAAACCAGTGCTTTGAGAAACTAGGCACAGTAGCATTCAAACATGAGATGTTATACCAATGATGATACTTTTCAAGAATAGTGCTGTCTAGGATGGAATATTGTTATACAATAACAGCCCCATTCAAAGCTGGAGAAAGTCTGGCCCCGGTATAGAACTACTCCGAGAACCCCATCCAGGTACAAACCGGGTACAAACCAGGTACACACCAGGCCCCCCTGAAACCCACCAGTCATCTACCAGAATCCAGAACGAACATGTTCCAACTGGTTGGGATGAGTTAAGTGAGAAGGCAGTCGATGCCAAAACTATCAGTAGTTTCAAAGCATCATTTGACAGATTATGGGGAAGACATGACAGCAGGAACATAGCTCTAATCCTGTAACTACACTTAGTTACAGGATTAGAGCTATTTGTTTATTAGCTATTAGAGGTTATTTGTTACTACAGTATTACAAATTCTTCCAACTGTGTTGTATGATTTTTAGGAGAGGTTAGGTACTGTATTTTTGATTAGCAGTGTATGTACTACTAAAAATAAAACAGTAGTAATAAAAATGTTGAAAACAATATGATTGGCGAGCATTAATGATGCCAAGTTGAATTGGATTTTTTTTACACTGAAATTATTGTACAGTGCTGCAAGAGCTCGGTAACCCAAATTTTGATTACCCAAATGAATTTGTGTTCATTATTTTCAAGTAAACAGTGGGAATAACCAGGTACACTATGGGAGTTGCTAGATAAACAGAAGGAATAAGTGGGTTGTGGTACACAAATTTGTGAAATTTTTAATTTTTTGGGAGGGGACACACTGTACTTGTTAAGAAATTCAGCTAAGTTAAATGGGGTGGGTACCATATACAGTACTTTGGGTTATTGAGCATAGACAGTACATGAAATCCTGGAACATTTTCTATTTTTTTTTTTTTTTTTTATAGTAACAAAATCTTACCAGATTTCTTACAGATGTACTGAGTTGAGTTTACAAAAAAAAATCATAGTTATAGTCTTCTGTATTGGAATAACAGAAGCTAGATAAAGGCTGGGGTATTTTCACTTGTCTGACATGATGCCTCATTTACTATATATGACTCAATTATTGAGTTATGTCTTTCCTTTCAGATCTTCTTGTGATTGGTGTTGGAGATGCAGGAAACTATGTGGATACACGAATTATCCAGTTTTTGAGGAATAAGGGCATCGCTACTGAGGTATTTAGGCATGCCAACATGTATACTTCAAATCTTAATTTGTTTATTATCTAACAAAATATTTTAATGCTGTTTTTCTGGGAGAGCTTCTACTGATGGCTTCTTGCTGCTAGCTACCTATATAGCTCCACCCAATTCAGCCCATGCCAGGTCCTTGTGTGGCATTTTTTTTTTTTTTTTTTTATTGTTATTTTCTACCACAGACGTGGCCACACATTTACAATGCTAACCAGCATATATACATTTTCTTCTGTCCTCCATGGACAGGGTTAGAGAAGTGTTAAACATATAGTTCAAGGGTTTATTGAACACTCAACCACAGAAGGTGATTCGGTGCTTTTAAAATGCTAAGCTAACCTACATACGTAAATACATAGATACACAGATTTACGTATGCCCTACATAAAGTGTTAGATGTGTCTTTTACATAGTGTCATTAATGTACATTCACAAAGGTGAAATGTAATTCTGATCAGCTTCCATATATACTTTATACCCATACATATACATACACACACACACATATACATACATATATACACACACGCACATGCATTCACATACATTTGTCTCATTTACTCTGACAGGGTGAGGTAGCTGATAAAGAAACTAGTGTGCAATTAAGCACTTAATCACTGAAGGTGATGAAGGTGCTTTTACAAGCTCAGGTTATATAGTTACATCATATATATACATTGTATGATTGATATATTACATGGTCAATCTTGGATACAAGTCCAATATATCATCAAGTGTTCCAGTACTCATATAATAACTACAGAGTTCAGCATACCTTAGCCCAGGAGGGCGAAAGTCAGTCAGTATGGGACATTCTACAATATAATGTTCAAGAGAGTGCATGTTTTCTCTTTCACAAAGTTGACACATTGTGTACTCAACATTTGGGTTTTGAGAAAGCAGCCAGATACGTCTATATCCCAGGCGTATTCTGGGCGTATACTTGTGTGGCATTGTAAGTCTTCCAGGAACCAAAAGCCAAAACCTGGCCCCCTCTTAAAGAGGCACAAGGAGCAAGGGATTCTAGTGCACCCTTACCAAGAAAAACCCACCAGAATGATTGGCGAACCAAAATACAGTATACAAACAGCAAGGTAAACAAACCATAAAAAATGAGACAAATTAATTTTAAAATATGAAAATGAAATCCTCCCCCATCTCCCCCCCCCCCCACAAGATGAGTTTCGTGTCATCTTGAAAGTGGAAGGAAGTCATGTCGTTTCACGACTTCACCTAGTCGTGAAACTTTTCTCTTGTTAGTTCCACCTGTGCACTTTCCTCTTCAATACCCTCTAGCTTGAACTTGAGTCGTTTAGACTGGCACAGTCATCTATGACATTGTGGTTGCTCTGCATTCCTGTTATCTTTTCAGATCCCAGAATTCAGGTAAGTGTTGACTGTTCTGGACACTGTTTTATCTTGCAGGGGCCATTTGTTTGTGTTTTTGTTCTATATTTTAGTGTTTGCTTCACAATAATGTACTTTTTTGTTTATGTCTCACTTCTTGTGAAGCATAAACAAGAAAGTATTGTGAATACTTCTTCATAAGGTGTTCTTACATTAAGTGTAAACTTCTTACTTTCTATGGCACACCATTCCTGGTGAGCACTCCTTTTGTTTTTTCTTGGTGGTGACAGCACCAAGGTGCCACCAATAGGAGCCCACACAGAAAACCAATTTTGAATGTTATGAAACACCTCTTTCTGGTGGGTCCAAGTGACTGAGGTTCAAGGCTAAGGAATTAAGGAGGAAGGTACACATTCCCTTGGTGGTGTGCAGGTGGAACTAACAAGAGAACTTCTTCGCAACCAGGTGGTTCATTCGTCTTAGAGGGTCACAGCCTCATTTTTCTGCCTTATTTACCTTGCTGTTTGTATATTTCTGCTCTTTCACCTTTCTGGTGGTGTTTTCTTGGTAAGAGTGATTTTGGATCCCCTGCTCCTTGTACCTCTGTAGAGGTAGGCCAAGTTTTGGCATCTGGTCTCTGGTAGGCTTACTTGCAAAAGCCTGGTTTGAATAGAATTAGATGGAGTACCTAACAACAAGAAACTCCCAAGAATCCACCAGAAAGTTGGCATTTCATTACATTCACTGCTAGTTTTTTATGTGGATTGGACCTATTCATTAAAGCTTAAAACCAAACATTACCAATTCACAATCTTTGAACCAATGACCTTTATTCTACTACTATATACAGGCAGTTCCCCAGTTATGAACGTGTTACGTTCTGAGACTGTGTGTAAACCATTTGTTCGGAGCGTGGATCAAGATTTTCCATAGGCGCAGTGTTATAAGTGGTTGATGCATTCCCAGGCCACCAAAAATCCACATAAATCCAATATTTTTGTGACATATAATATTAAATAATAAATAATAAAACCACAACATTATTTACCTTAAATGATGGAGTTATCCTGCTTGTCAAAGTTAGCGGTTTTTGAAGAGTGAAGTCGTATAATTACATGAATAAATAAATTAAAATACATGTGTACTGTATTGTCCGCCTCCCATGCACCCTACCCCCACCCCACCCATACAATACTGTATTGTGTATTGTGGCTGCTACACAGACGTTTATGGTGCTGTGAAATTCAAAGGATTTGAATGAGTACAATGATTTTATGCATTGTATTCATGCATAAAATCATAAAAAAGGGGGTACGTGGGGACCCGGGAGAATGTTTGTATGGACGAATGTTTGTAAGGCAAATGTTTTTAAAACAGGAACTCCCCGTATATTAACCCTTAAACCGCGCAATACATGTATAGATGATTTCAGTAACAAAACCGAAACCGCGCAATATATTAATAGCTGTTTTAGTGTCTAGCACCTTAATTTAAACGCCCCCTGTGGGATAGGGGCAGCTATAGTGCAGCCACAACCGATAGTTGACAGACACCACTAAGAAAAAAAATCGTGACCAACATTCCTGGGTGTGAGAGCTTCAGTATTGAGCGAGCCACCAAGGCTGACACACGCACCATGAGCGCACAGCACTGCTGTTCAGCTTGTGACCACAGCATCGCTAAAAATGTTAAAATATATATGTTCATGCTATTATTTAGCGATGATAGTATTACAGAAGTCCCCTGTGATAAAACTGACCAGGATTCTGATAATACAAGTAGCGGGATTATGGTGATATTTAGCGCTGTGCTCCATGGAGGGAGGAGTAATGCTGTGGGAGGGAGGGAGGGTAGTGGTGTCGTTTTCTGACTGTGTGTGGCCACCTTTTATTGACTGTACTCACCATACCAGCTTAGTGGTTCGCTATGGTGAACACAAATGTAGGTACTTATATATAACGTGTGTATAGAGTGTAATAACAGCAATAGGAGTAGGTTGAGAGCCGCCATTTTAGTGAGGGAGGTGCATCGTCTGCACGATTTATCTTGTTTACTTGTGGCCACTATGGTCTTTGGGCACCATACCAGCTTATTTGTACAAGTATGGTGAACAAAACAGGCAGATACTTATATATAATGTGTGTATATAGCGTAATAACACCACAAACACTATTGTTGGAGGAGAAACTCGCCTTTTCTCACCATACAAGCTTAGATGTACAATTACAGTATGGTGAACAAAACATGTAAATACTTATATATAATGTCTGTGTATAGTGAATAAATGCAAAAACAGTATTGTGGGAGAATGAGGGCGAGTGAGGTGTTGTTGAGGGAGTGGCAGCGAGTGGCTATCTGGTGTGTGGCGGTTACTCCTTGTTGCTTTTTGACTCGCAATACTGTACCAACTAAGTGGTTCGTTATGGTGAGCAAAACATGCAGATACTTATATATAACCTGTGTATATAGTGTAATAACAGCAAAACTATTTGTTTATTGTTTTATGAACATCATAATTGAATCACTAATATATGCACACCATAATTTTGAGTACATCGATGGTTCTCACATTTTATTATATAAATATATTACAATACACACTATTGAATAATATTACTGCAAAAAAACTAAGAAAAAATCGGAGACATTGAAATAATTAGGTAATAATATATTTGTGGCAACTGCCGCCTGACAGCTCGGGTGGAGTAGACCTCGTCTGGCGAAGGCTCTGTCAATGCCTCTTTTTTGTCAGACTTCCCTACCCTATTGCGGCTAAATTATGCCACCTACGATTTTTTTGTTATTTTTTCTGTGATCAGGGAACACAAATGAGCACTACTATAAGACAAAAGAATTTTTTGCAATTTTTTTTTGTTGTGCCTGTGGGTGTTGAAGTCATTTGGACCCCTCACAGTTTGAGGGTTAAATAACTTTATTATCAATGGAGAATAAACATAAAGCTTATCATGAGATATTGTCTGTATTATCCCCCTTGCAATACTATCACAATACATTGCAATTTTTAGTTTTGTTTAGTTCACTTATTATGTACCTGATACCCATCCTGTGGATACCCATCCTGTGTCCACTACTGGGTACCTGATACCCAGTAGTGGACAAAGGAATGCAGAGGCACAAAATGGGTTTGGTAACTGAAGCACAAAATTAATTTGGCTTAGGAAGTTAGTCTTGATAAGCTAGTTACACAATTCAATGTATTTTGACAATGGGTTTGAGAACGACCAGAAATGTAGTCTTTATGGCAAGCTAAGGTAAGCTTAGGCATAAGCAAGTCAAATATGAAACTTGTTCATCACAAATGTAAGTGCAATTTTGAATGGTAATATTTGAATAAAATGTCCTTATATCTAATAAGCATATCATTATTACATATTTACACTTTTATGCAGTGTAAATACCTTCAGTCCTGCCATTATACATTTGCTTTTAAAGTTTATAAGCTGCTACAAGTTCTTAACACTTTCGTTCGCCGGCGACATAGTCTGCATCAATAAATAAATTGACAGATGTCCGCTGGTGATGCATGTTGCATGAAAATTTAAAATATTTGTTAAAATTATACTTTTATCCGATCATTATGTGACTATATGTAGTTTTAAAATGCGCGCCTTTAGAGTGCGAACAATTTGATACCAAAATGAACGACGTAGCACGACAATTGAGGTCAGAACACTGGAAAGATTATAAATACTTGTGTGGTGATGAGCGTCCAAAATTAAAAATATGTTAAAAATTCTATATCATTTAATTATTATGGGACTAGTTGTAAAATGCGTGCCTTTAGATTGCAAACAATTTGATACCGTAATGAATAACGTAGCATGACAGTTGAGGTCAGAACACTGGAAAGATTATAAATATGTGTGGTGATGAGCATCCAGAATTAACATATTTGTTAAAATTCCATTTATTGTTCGATTATTATGGGACTAGTTTTAAGATATGCGCCTTTAGATTGTGAAAATTTGATACCAAAATGAGTGCTGTAGCTCAAAAATTGAGGTCAGAACACTGGAAAGAGTACATAAGTTAGTGTGGGTGTGCGCTCCCAGGAAACGCCATGCCCACCTTGGGGCGCGCCCCGGGTGCGCCCCAGTGTTAATGGTCAAAGTAGTAATGGTTAATAGTCAAAGTGGTTTTAATTGTTTTGACTTGTAATGTACTTTTTTTGTATAGACTGAATACAAATAAGGCACAATCAGTTCTCAGATCTGGCAAATGCTGCATGTGTATCTCTTTGCTTTCACAAAATGTAACTGTCTTTTTTCTTCTCTTAACATGCAGATTCTACCAACTGCATCTGCATGCACCACATTCAACTTCTTGAACCAGGAACATCGCTGCGTGGCCGGGGCATTCATACCTCCAATGAGTATATCTGTGAATGAGGATGAAATGGTACAAACTGAGAGGAGAAGAAAACAATTATATATCTCCCAGCAAGAAGATGTAGTGTTTTAACATAGCCATGTTGAAAAAATCTTGTCAGTTTTAGTAAGTTCCTGCAGTGCAAAGCTATTAGTAATCCTGACCATTGTTAAATGCTGCTTTAATTTTTAATGTGATTTAACATGAAATAAAGAACAGTGTTCCTGTATCTTTCATATTTATGTAAAACTATACACATTAAACATATTCTGTACAGTATGTATTATATGTAAATAACAGACATTCATTGAGTACTCTTAAGATTAATGACCTATTCCCTCCATCATTGAATAAAAGTTGTTTCATCTCCATTGAAAAAGTTTTTAATATAAAGGAATAAATTAAGCCTTGGCTTTGTACGACTGATGATTACAGAAAAGTCTTGACATTAACAAATTTATGTAGCCACCTTTATCAATGCTGATATAATTTAGACAATAAATTATTATTATTATTTATAAATACAAGAGTTTTTACATTCTTGTACAGCCACTAGCATGCATAGCATTTTGAGAAAATCCTTAATCCTAATATTCCCTGGAATATGACCCGCTAAATTGTTTAACAACCAGGTATCCATTTTACTGTTGAGTAACAGAGACTACAGTTAAGGATAGGATTAAAACTAACCTAACCTTACCATTCCTTCTGGCACTAGTAATATCATTAGCACAAAATAGTCAAAGCAGCAAACTGCACAGACCCTTTAAAAAACTTTCTGGCAAAAATAATATATAAATTTTACTACACAAAATATACATACACCATTGTACTGAGTTGACAGACTGAGATATACACGGTACAGCTGGATCATGGTGTGGTAAGCTATACCATTCTTTGGACTTGAAACCAAATAAGTTCATCCAAGTCTGTTAGCCAAGGACCATGGCTGCCCATATAGTCATTCAACCACCGTTTCCCTTGATTTATCAGGTGATGCACACATCACTGTATAACACACAAATATTTAACTATTATATATTACAGTACTGTACTCTGACAAATATTTTTTCTGGGAGGCCATTTCAGTAGCTCTTTGGGAGCTTATATGACACGTTTTAAGAAGTGCACCAGGCTTTTGAGACCCACACTAACCAACTAGGAGCTGGGACCAGAGTCTGGCTGTACAAGGCAAGGGGTAGCTTGGTAATCAGATCACCCAAAAATCAAGAAAAAAACACCAGAAAGATTAGGTGACACAAAACAAGCTACTGCTCGAGGACAGAAATAAAATCAGAGGCAAGCACTGCAAATTGGCATTGCTAGATTAAAAAATTGGATTGGATTGGATTGGCGAGCAATCCTAACTCAACCTGTCCTCTTGAGAATTTCCGACCTCACTAAACTGTTGTACTAAAGTGCCTGAACCTAACCAACCCGAGGACTCATGGAACAGAAAACAGGACATCACGTCAATTTTTGCAAGCAGCTATTTTTTTGTACATTAGTTTTTGGCCTTGTGTAAAGTATGTCAAATGCTGTGCTATCAGGAAGATTGGTTGCCTAACTTTGATGCATCCAGATGGCAGCCCAGGCAAACGAGAACCAGCTAATCAGCTGCCAGTCTTGCTCACCTTGTGATTAAAGGCACCTAACCACTTTTTACAATGTTTTTATTACCATTAGAATGCTTAAATCATTGGCTACACTTTGAGCTTTATTTAAAAGAAATCGGTCCACTAAGCATTTAGTTTTATTTTGTAATTTGCAGTGATTGCACAAAAAATCTGGCAATAATGATGTTGCCAACTAGTATTTTGTGAGTGAAGGCTCTGTATCTCTGGTGGCAAGAGAAGGCTTAACTGCTTCAGCTGCTGAAGTGGATGGGGGCCGCCCCCAGAGAAGGCCAAGATATACCCCAAGCTAAACCCTGCCCTGATTCGGAAGGCCTCAGAACCTTCAGAACCAGAAGGGAAGAACAGAAGTAGGGTGAACAACCCCTGCAAGGGAAGGAAGAGGATGTGTGGACTTAGTCCAGGTGCAGTTCACCAACCCCTCCAATTTAGGGGTCCCTAAACATCATAGGTGCCGACTCCAGGGCATTCAAATGAGCACCAAACCGAGAACCTGAATACAGAAGCACCTTGTCCATAAAGCGTCAGCTGTCTGGTAAACTTACGACAAGATGCAGGCTCAGAGAATGGAGACTTATTGTGTGCATGTATCATAGGACTCAAAGCTGCAGTTGTCATTGACTCGACATGCAGCATGTTGAAGGCAAAGAGAGTGATCGTCAGCTAGTAGCAGGGCTGATGTATTTCTTTCTTATCTCAATAAACATACTTGAACTTGCAGGGCTGATGAGCATATTTGCACATAGTGAGTGCAGACTTGACAAGTCACTCCAACATAAGCCACACTGTAGACCCACAGGCGAATTACCAAAGCTTGAAGGTAGCTAGCCACCCAGGACACCCAGGCACTAGGGATGCACACTAAAAACACACACCAATTGCAGCCTGTAACAACACAGTTACAAAGGAAATCCACAGCTTGCTATGTAAACCACCACATGTACCCTAATGCACCCCCCTTCACAACCATACAGGATGCCTCCAACCTAGAGCCTACCCAGAGGAGTCAGCAACTTGTACGCCACCCCTACGCAAAGCTCCTCACCCAAGTGGTCAGACCTCTCTGGGACAAACTCCCAAACACACCAGAGAAAGAACTCTGTCAGTTGCAATGCTAGATGAGTACCCAAGGCAGGGTCATCCTGAGCATATACAGTTCAAAGAGTAAAATTTGCCAGGTCCATGCAAAATTGCCATGGGCCCACATGCGTGAGTAAAGTAAGTAATTATCAAAAGAAGGCACCAAACCGGGAAGGCTATATAGCACCGTTGAATGTGCGGAATAATCAGAGGGCACTAAATAACACCAAGGATGCCAATACGAGAACAGAAACGCATAAGGCGAACAATATCAAAAGTATCCGATTCGCTAAGAATTCTATCGAGGGACAGTTGGAAAGAAAGACACGCTCATCCTGGAAGTCAGGGCATTCAATAAGGATATGCACGACTGTACAACCCCCACAACAAGCTGACCTACTCCTACGTGAGCAGACATTTGGTGAAAGAAAATGTGCCAAATTGCTTCTGTCCCACCTGGGATTCAAACCCGGAATTCTCAATTGTGCTTGAAGAACAAATCTGACTGTACTACCAGGACTTCCGGTAAAATGTATTTTATACATTTGAATTGAATACAGATTTACCGTTTCATATTTTTTTCCAGTCAAGATAATTTTAATGATACTCATTGTTGAGGTTCGAGCACACCACCAAGTATGGATAAGGAGAAATTTTATACTTTCAAAGAATTTTTCATCTTACTCAAAACAATTAAGGTAGAGGATTGGAAAAAGCATGACTAAATAAGTTATATTTATAACATACATCTTTGGCATTACATTATATAAAAATTAGTTAATTTTAACATACTTATATTTTTAAAGTCTCCTTTAAGTATTAGTACAAGGTACACATAGAACTAGTCTGTCTGGTTATTCAGTTAAATTTATAGATTGACAATTATAATTTTTCAGCATAAAGCTGTTTCATGAATTTTTGGTATGACAGTCAAACTGCTGACAAATTGGGAAAACTTATGAAAGTGAGCCTTGGCTGGAACAAAATGCCACCCAATAAAGGCTCCCCCTAGCTGTCATTTTATGTAATTTACTAGTATATTAGAATTTAAGAGTATGGGCTTGAATTTTATATCCTGGGTGTTACAAAATGCAATTATAATTTAATTTGTATTGAATAATGCATATCAGACAATGCTGGAATAATAATTTTAGCAGTTACTACTTACTGCAGCCCACCTTTTCCTACTTCTCATCCTTTCAAAATCATTGAGATGTGCTCTATTAGGGTAAACTCTCAATTATCAAGACAGCTCGGGACCCAATCATTGCTATACATGAACCCACTATTTGTCTTAACATCCACTTGTAAATATATATTAAAATAATGTTTTGGAGGTTGCCCATTGGGTCAATCAATTTAGATATTCATGACAGTTCAATATACCTTGTCATAAGACCATGGAGCCAGCTGCTTCACCTGTTTTCATTTTATATTACAGTATAGTACAGTATGTATCTCCTAAAATGTTCGCACACTACAGTCATCACTGATGCGTGCTGCATTTCAAAGTTTCTGGAAAACAACCCTTATGCATTAATGTTCATACATTCATTACACCAAACTGCAGCAGCTTCAAGTAGCAAAAGGAAGACAAAGCTTATAGACATAATGAAATGTACTGTTCTTACTAATATGAGACATCTATCCTCATAACATCAAAATGTTTGACAACATATTACACAAACAACTTCTGGTACACATTTATCATACAGAACTTATGTATAAATGCAGAATATAATTACTTTAAACCTACTACGGTACAGAGAAATTCAAAACACACATTATTAAACTAAAATATTACACATGTACACTGTGAAGACATTTTTTAAACAATTGTGTAATTTGATACTGTATTGTATCTTTTTGTAACATGATGAGTGCAGATAATATACACTTATCATGTTACTGTAACCACACACACACACACTACAATAATACTCCATATACAGTACTGAACTACATATAAAAATATTGCTTACTTACATAGATCATTTTAAGTACTATGTATATACTGTGCATGATGCAATGAGATATGTAGATTCTGTTTGAACATGTTATTTAAATAAAAAATTAAAACAATAAAATACATACCATCATATTAAAAATTAAAATGAAGTATGCTACCATGTCTGTATATAAAATTGCCAAAACATTGAGCCAAGGCTTTGAAAGCATTATCTAGCTAGTGGGGAGGGTTTATACTGAGGAGAACACCGAGGAGAGTATGATGGTCGAGCACTAGTAACTCTGCCCACAGTCACTCTCTCCTTTTGGATTTTCCCCGATTGATCACATGTAAAAGACAAAGGTGTTCGTTGCGTCACGTGAATGTTAACTCTTGCCTTTTTTAAGTCAAGTACAGGCAAAGGGCTCTTAAATTTTTCTGCCTTTCTTCGATCAGTCTTGTTTTCTGGCGTAGCCTTGTGCTTCTTACTGGGTGACAGCCATGACTTGGGTGGTGTCAGACAGTCTTGTGCTTGAAGCAACTGTGTCATTAGAGAACCAGGAGAATCATGTGTTCTTTTGAATGCCGCCTTACCTTTCATGACCTTAGGGGATTCAGGTACAGGTAATCTTGATGGGCTAAGTACTTCTTCTCGGTTCTCATCTCGATGACTTGTAACCTAATACAGAGATTTGCATTAAAATACCGGACCTGATCAAATAAATTCATTTCAAGCCAATGTTAATCTTTTAATTCCAAAGTAAATTAAATATATTAGATATACCAATACTGTAGTAAACAAGTACAGTATACTGTATTATAATTCAATATACTGTACTTTCATTTTCAGCTAAACAGATACAAAAATAATTCCTTAAAATTTATTTATTCTCTTCATTATTACATTTTTTCTGTAATAATTCTTCGATCTCTGGCAAGTCTGGATTTACCTAGTTGACTATCGCACATTCCCAGATGCCAAGCACAAAACAAGCACGGCTGGAAAGTAGTTAAAGGAATGGCTACTTTATATTGGAAAATAATATGAAATAAAATATCTTGCACTGCATCTCATTAAGCATCGGAAATCTCTAAGCATTTTACTAAAATGATGTAACACTTAAGAGAGAGAGATTAGGAGAGAAGACAAATGGTTGAGTCAATTAATTTACCAATTGATAAATTTGAATTACTGTATATTATAAATGACTGCACAATGAAATCACATTAACATGATATATCAATGAGAAAATCAGTAGAAGTCATGATGAGGATTTGAACCAGCACACTGGGTACTCCCAAGTATACAACCTAACCAACTCAGTCACGACATGCTAAAAGGAATGCAACCTGGGGGTTTCAACTAAATCTTCTAGGGGTCCTGAGGCTTCCACTGAAGCCCTGTGTGCAGATTCAATTCCTCATCATTGCTTCTACTGATTTTCTCATTAATACATCATAGTAATTTATTAATCAAATGTCTTTGTGCATTTGAAGAGAAGCATTGTAGATAGAATTCCTAGATTACAGGCAGTGTGTATACAGGCAGTGCTTCAAACACTGGTTGGTCTTCAGTGAAAGTCTCAGGACCCATAGAGGACTCTGTTGAATACCAGGTTGCAGGGCTTTTAGCATGTCATGGCTGAGTTGGTTAGAGCATATACTTGAAGCCAGTGTTTAGGTTCAAATCCTCATCAAGGCTTCTATTGTTTTTCTTATAAATGATTATCAAATAATATACCGGTTATGTTTTTTATACTGGATAATTGGTATTAACTTGGAATTAAATAGGCAAGCTAATTAAAAACACAGGCACTAGATTATGAAATAGAAATTATATGGTACCAAATTATTTATCTGATAATAGTTCAATGGCTCCTTAGATAAATTACAACAGTATTGAGAGAAATTGAAGGTCAGCAGTTAAGAGCAAGAGAAATAAATAACTTGGGCTCTACAAGTGGTCAAGAAAATAAATAGTAATTCCTACAGTAAAAATTTCTTGAAAGGTGAATTATGCTTGAGTGTGTGTGGAGATGCAGTAGTTATATATGACACCTCTGTTGGGAGTACACCGAGATAATGATGAGCAAGCCAAAACAAAAATTAAAATTGCATACTAAATTGGAGAAGAATTCCAGGAATAAATTGGAGATTCAACTCACACTATAATGTAAAAATTTCATTCTAATGAAGAGAGCAGGAATGTGTGTGGCAAACAGTTACAACACACAATAAAATTGTTTGCTCTAAGAAAGAGGAAGATGATCAACAATAATTGAGTGCCAAGTAAATAATATAGTATTTTTTAAAGTAGAAAATATAGTTTTATATAATTGGTAATTTAAATTTGAATGTCATACCTATATACAAATTATCATAAAATGCTTACCTTAAGAGCAATTAGCTGTTCTGGATCTCCCTTAATGGTAAGCTTGCGCAATGCTGGCCTACGCAGAGGCTTTCTGGAGCTGGAGTCCTTACGCAAAGTTTTCCTCTTATCGACTGCTTCTCGCACGGCTTCTATCAATGTAGAAACCCATTTGCTGCCTCCTGTGTTATCACTGCTATACAACAGCATGTCTTCCGATTCACACTTGAGCTAAGAAAGGCAGAATGTTTTACGGGATTAATGAATACTACATGTGAAAGTACTTTCTAGTTTTCGACGTAGTGTCAAGCTTTTAGGAAAACTAAACAACAAATCCACAAGGGCCGTGACGAGGATCTGTATCCAGACGCAGGTTTGAATCCTCGTCACGGCCCTTGTGGATTTGTTCAGTTTTAGGAAAACTTGTTTCCCAACCAAAATAACAGCATATTATGAAATCAAGTTGGCTGGAAATGCTACATTAAAATTACAGAAAAATATGAGTCTTAATTACAAAGGAGGATGAACAGTTTTGTTTCAATCAAGCACACAACAATAAGTAAAATATATTTAGACTATCCTGTTTTGATACAGATAAATTCAAGACCTCTGAAGAATGAGAATTATTTTATCACATAAAATTAAATAATATATTTTCTTTTCACACATAGGCAGAGTGTGTGACCTTTGATGATAGCTGCACTGGCCTCCACAGGACACAGACTTCATGCAAGACGATGAGTGGTCTTAAACACATGATGACCAAGACCTTGTCAAATATCCTGGCCCACCATCTAAAGGGGACGGGTTTATGTGATGTCTCACCCACCTGCTCATGGTCATGAAGGTCATCAAATCAAACCATCTGATACAGATGTTGGTAGTGCTTCGAGAAATAAGTCAATACTGTATAGCATATCTAAGAATGGTACAGAAGCCAAACCTAGATCAAGTATGTATGAAACCCATGATCAGTCTCTTTTAATACAAAATAATGATCATCATAATACTTTGACAGAACATGACAGTGAATGTCATAATATTGTGACAGCAGATAACTGTGAAGGTCATAATACTGTGCTGGAAGATGACATAGGTCAGAATGTTAGCAATAGACTTGAGGTTGTGATTGCTGGGTTACTTCAACTTCTTAGTCAACCTCTTAATTTTTTTTTAATTATCAGGAGAAAGCCCCAAGACATTATGCCACTTGGAGGAGGTCAGGATTAGGATTTAGGATGGGATGGTGGGAGGGGGGGGGGGGTGGTAATGGTGCCCAACCACTTGGACGGTTGGGGATTGAACGCCGACCTGCATGAAGCAAGACCATCATTCTACCGTCCAGTCAAAGTAGTCAACCTCTTAAAATTTCACTTCTCACCTCCTCAGTAATGTCAGTGAACTTGATTAGGTCTGGGATATCAGAACAAACTCCTTCACTGTTGAAGACTGCACTACACAAATGTGTCGTGTATCTTTGACTGATGTCATTCTGGCCTGGTTCATACACCTTGTCATTCTTCACACTCCCTGTCCAGTCAATGAAGTGTCAATGTATTTGGATAATTTACATGCCATCAGTTACCACTAAGTTTCTCAGCCCACAGTCCACGGCACATCTGTCCAAGCTTATCCACTGGGTGATTAAGTCAAATCATCCACAGACTTATGATTTGGTGTATGAACTCAGAATGTGCGACACATTCACTGCTTATTTTTTCTCTGCCATGTCCTCCTCTGGCATTAAGGCCCATGGTTTCTGAAGATCATATAGGAATTTTAGAGAAAGCAACTGGCATAACATTAACCCCGAGCGCATGGTTCCCGGTCACGCAGGCTGACCTGCCTCAGTTTACTAGAGCTGCCCACTTAGTGACGATTATGCTTATAAGAAATTCTGTTTTTGTGGTGATTTTTTTGCTTTTTGAACATAAAACTGATTATTATATATCATGCCATGGGTCCTAAGAAAATCAGTGGTAAGGTTCAACATACGAAAACATGCAAGAATGACAATAGAGGAAAAACAAGAGATCATTCATAAACATGAAAATGGCACTCGTGTTGTTGAACTAGCTAGTGAACAAATCTTCAGGGGAGGTGGAAGAGGTGGCAGTAGAGGATGTCCCTTCCTCATTAATTAAGAAAATGTGTGCAGTATGGGAAGGACTGCAAAGTTTTGCTGAAAAGAATCACCCAGATAAAGCTTTAGCAGGCCGTTGCATTGCTCTTTTTAATGACAATGTGATGCCTCACTACAGACAAGTGTTGCAAAGAAGGGAAAAACAATCTTCAATGGAGCAATTTCTAGTGAGAAAATCAAGCAGTGAGCCAGAAGCAGATCCTAGTGGTAAGCAGGCAAAATGTGCCAGAATGTGTACCCCAGAGAAGTCCTCATTGCCTGATGTCATAATAGAAGGGGACTCCTCTTCCAAACAGTAACACTCCTCCTTCCCCCTCATCACCATCTTCCATACGCCATCAAGAGTCCTCCATAAAGGTAAGATAAACATATGTACTGTATTGTAGTTCGAGAAAAAAATTGTATTCAGTATAGAATGTTTTTTTAAGTTAATATTTTTAAGGGTGTGGAACGGATTAATTCTATTCCCTTTATTTCTTATGGGAAAAATCGTTTCGACTTACGATACACCTCTGGGAACGGATTACCATTGTAAATCGAGGCCCCACTGTATTTTGTTTTATTTTATTTTATTGCTATGCTACAGTTTACAGAAAACACACACACATATATATAACAATATAACAATCAGTGTTCGAAGACCTTGTCCAGCTCCTCGGAGGTTGGGTGCATACCCAGGATACAGCACGCATTTTCCCTCTGAACTGCGACACTGAGGCGTTGGAACAGGAAACTGGCCTCTTGTGAATATTTAGTTTTCCCAATGAGTTCCTCCCCCACCTCCTATAAGAACTTAAGTGCACATTTACCCTAGGCGCCAAGTCTCGGAGCCTATCGGCACGAACCTGTAACAACATTCTAGGTCTCTGTACTTGTTGGTTTTCTGGGTCTCCCTGAAGGTGGCCACCCCACATGTCTCAGCTGTACTGTGAGGTAGATATGTATCAGCCAATGTTAACGCACACGTGTAGTCCCACACGACCTGTTTACCATCCCTCCATGGCTGCAGGGTGACTCCATCTGGGCGTTTGTGACTGTTGTCAGGTCTGCACGACTGAGTTTCCCTTTGTGCTGGACACAGCTGTAGCCAAACTTCTCTTGATGATGTCATTGACTGCTTCATGTCTAGCAATCTTTCCCTGTGTCTTACGACAGATGAGACTATGGCTGCCGTATTGGTCCGCCCGTGCATAGCCGCAAATACACCAGTGTTCGGTGGAGATAGGGATGGCAAGGCCCAGGGCAACACCAGTACTTAGGACCCGATGGTCAAGGCGGGTGCCCAAAGTGGAATTAGGGACTGCCAACAGGAAGTCCCGAGCATGGGGGGCTTGCACAGCTAGGAGACGCACTCTGTCCTTCTCAGAAGCTGCCTCCAGCAAAGCTTTGGCGATGTCCTCCACTATGGGGCTATTCCATTTGGCCTGTTTGCCGTCATTTGGAAAAGTTAGTCGAGGGTGTGAATTGGCAAGAGTGTCCCACTGACCAGCTCCTTCTGCAAATTTGGGATCATGAATCTCAATGGAGTTCCTTAGGTATTCTGGTAGTATTTCATTCACTAATTCACTTGTAGTACTGGTCGAGGATAAGAATGCCGGCAATGCTAACTGTGATGCTTTGCGAATACCTATATCCCCCCCCCCCCCCCCGAGTCTAACTGGGAGCATTGCTTGGTCCCACTAGTCATCTGGCAGGGAGAGGTTTAACACTTTCATAGTTATTGACTTCAGGAGGGAGTCATATTCCGTTAATTTTGGGCTGTCGAAGGAGGGAGCACACCTGAGGAAATAGGTAAGTCTGGGCAAAGCCAGGCACCTTGTGAGAAGGTACAAAGCATCGTGAGCATCCAAAGCCCCTATTCTTCCCTCCATCCTCCTCAAGTCGTTCAGCTTTTCTTCGAGGACTACCTCAATGATGCTCGAGCCCAGAGGTGCCCCTAGCAGCACACTGTTGGTGGGAGCGATCACTGGGGTTCCTGGCAATAAGATTCGTACTGCATCTATGATTGGGTGGCTGGATGAAATGACTTCACACTTTGATGGGTTTAGGGTGAAGCCTAACTCCTCTCCCTTAGATTTCACTAGCTGTAGATCTCCTAGCAGGGATTCCTGTGTCCCTGCCAGGGTGCCATCGTCCAAGAACCAGATGTTGAATTCGCTGGACAACCTGCTTGTGACCTCTTTAGCTGCCATGCAGAAAAGGAAAGGGGCAAGTTGATGTGTGTGTGTAAAACAAATAAATAAATATATATATATATATATATATATATATATATATATATATATATATATATATATATATATATATATATATATTTTTTTTTTTTTTTTTTTTTTAACTGTAGGAAGTAAGAAAAGTTATTTTATGCTTCAGCTCCTCTTCAACTGATCAAAACTTTTTCATGCATTATACAGTACTTATTTCTTCAATGTTGATTTAATTTTTATCATGACATGCATGCAGCATCTGTAAATTACAAATGTGAAATCTGCACAACACTTACCCTGAAGAGGCCTTGCTGACCATTGCCCAGCACAGAAACAACAGAACAATGGCGTAGTGGAAGCAAACAGCAGCACTCCAGTGAATTTGGTTTGTATTCCACATCCAAAACATCTCCTGAACTATTAAACAAATATCAAGTTATTCAATTCCAGTTTAAATATGAACATATTAGCCAATTACAACTAAAACAAAGTATAGTAGATAAACATACTATATACAGTTCAATCATAAAGGGCAGGTAAGAAGTGTATTCCCAGGCTGGTATGTAAGGAATGCAACAAACAAAGGCTGTACTCATTATATTATACTGTATTTTTTGTTTTACATATAAGGGAGGAAAAGTACAGTATACAGTAGGATAAAAACAAATTCCTGTACATATTAGGAAATATAAATGATAAAAAGAGTACAGTACGGGTACTGATTAAAAGAAGATATTTCTTGAAACTCCATATAAATAATAACAAATTTCTTGAAAAACAAAAACTTTCCTTTCTCTCTTGCATGCATTTGGTCCACTGTTACGAACACTAAAGGCAACTTGGGAACTTGGACATACTGCAGAGCTAAGCCCTGATATTGCTGGTAAGGGCAGTAATGTATAATTGACTGTTAACAGGATACACTTCAAGTGAAACATCTGATAAAACACATCTAGGGAGGACCCAAGGAGTATCTACCTCAAACTGAGAAGTAGTACTGTATACAGTACAGTACGCGGTATCTCCCACCAGGTAACAGGTCGCTTCCAGCCAGATACTAAAGCCTAGGAAGGATCAAAGTGAAACCAGACATCCTCTTGGATGACACTGCGGACCTAACCCTTCTGTCTAAAGATGAAGAGGCACCAGAATCAAAACCTAACCCAGGAACTACCTGCCAAAATGGGGCAGAAAGGAACGATAGAACACTAACCAGACAAAAGTTGGAATTGGGTTCGAGCTCTGGATTGAACCTCATGAGCTGAAACTTTCTGTAACCACTGCTGCCAACCATATCGCCACTTGTGCCTGTACAGCTGAGAACTGAAGTCCAGGTTCCACCAGGACTACCGGTGGAACCAGGACGAGGAGCAGTGTCCTGAAAAGACTTCACACAAGTGGCAATGAACAGAGAATCTCAATGTCCTCTTAAATGAAGAAATAAATAAATAAATAAAAGAGGAAGCTGCTCGGACTCCATGACAGCTAAAGGAAAAGATCACAAGTGCCTATACTGAAGTGCAAAAATATGCAAGTGAACTGTAACCCCATAAACTGCACAGCAGGAAGAAGCCTCTGCGAAGATTGCAGTCTATAGTATAGGCACAAGTCACACACCCAGTAATGAAAAAGACCCTTTGATTCAACTTTGAAGAGGCATGCCATAAATGGCAATACCAGGCAAAACCCAGAAAAAATTAATGCAGTCAATTCAGGCTTCATACAGGACAGGCTCTCTATAACCAGCATAGAAAACAAGGTAAAATACCTCTCTGAAGCATGGCAATTAACCAACCAAATGTCTGGACTACACTCCTTGATGACATTCCAGCCAAGAACAAACTCTACTTGGCACATGTTTACCAAAACCTACATACAATACACAGTAAACAAAAACAGGTTGCCTCTACACTTCTAGAGCAAACACCAAATGAATATCGACACACAAACCTCAACAGGAATTTGATGACACTATAGGTTACCATACAGCCTCAGATATTTCTGGTAGCTCTTGGTCTTTGCAATCAGCAGCTTGGAAGACTGCAATGAAACAAAGCTGAAACGGATTGCAACGTTCAGGCATACAAAATGACTGGATACCATGCTGTGAAGTGAACACTAAATCATGGAACCCTCTGCACAAAAACTAACTCTCAAGGAATAACCAGTTAACTTTGATAAATAAACATCTGCAGAGCAGCATTCTTCATTGGTGAGTGCCAAGCACAAATTAAGGAAAGCTACCTCCCATAAACTAGTTGTACTAGCTAGTGCTGTCACATGGTGGTGGTTGGTGTAAGAGTTATTATCAGTTATGCAGTTTAATATGATTACTAGTCATCTTCAGAGGTCTCGATGATCATTTCACATAAGTATTAAGCAGCCTGATGGTTTTTTTTTTGGAGTCAGTGAGTGGTTTTCATTAATAGTAGATTCAGTTTATTCTTTCTATTGTGCTCCTCACCCACGGACTACAGGACAAGACCACTTAAAAGGTTATGTTTCTCCACAGGGCTTCAAGTTACTCCAGAGTCTAGCAATGACCTTGGTGGACCTATGGTTATATCTCAGGGTAGTAACTGAAAGAACATTGCTAAAAATCCCTATCATCTAGCTATCCAGCAGTGGATGGGGGTGGAAGGGGCAGGGGGCAATACTCTGTGCTATATATAAAAAGCTGACAACTATATGACATACTGTACCTGCTGGTGGAGGTATTAGCAATATTTGCTGTTGGTAACTTAGTGTACAACAGTATGTCTGTGAAAAGGAAAAACAATCGTGGCTGAGAGCTGCTACCATTGCGGGAAACCTGCAGAGTAAATAGAACATAATTATTAAAATGATAGTTGACTGATCATAAATTGCTACAAAGTCATGATAAAAATTTGCAAGTAGCAGAGAACACAAGGCAAAGTGCACGGATGGGGTGTTATTTGGTAAGCCAACTAAAGGTACAGTATTTCTGTGAAATATTCTATATTCTAAGTGATCATTTTTGCTCACAATGATCTACTGACAGGATTATAATTCACTCTCTCACCAACAGAACCGATTCACAGTTGGATAACTGGTTTTTCCAGCTAAAGATATCAACTCCTTTTTTTTTTTTAAGAATTATCTTACCATATTGATCACAATTTGACCATACCGATCACTATCTTACCTAGAAAGAATCAGCATGATAGTCAAGAAAATATGTAAGTATCATATAGCTTCAAGTTATAAAATACATTTCTTTATATAATTACTTTGCAGATAAAAGTAAAGATTTCAGATTCCAATACCGACTGAAAATTGTATACAGTGGTACCTCAGCTTACGAATTTAATCCGTTCCCAGAGACGGCTCGTAACCTGAAAATTCGTAAACCGATGCAAATTTTCCCATAAGAAAATAATGGAAAATGAATTAATCCATTCCAGACTCCCCAAAAAATTAACTTCAAAGTAAATTTTATACCTAATTCACCCAAATCTTAAGTACAAAAATATGTACAAGTTATTACTTACCTTTAGTGATGACTCCTGTTGGCGTATGGAAGACAGTGAGGAGAGGAGGGAGGAGAGGTGTTACTGTTTGGAAGGAGAGTTCCCTTCCATTATAACATCAGGCAGTGATGACTTCTCTGGGGTACACACACTGGCACATTTTGCCTGCATACCACCATGACCTGCTTGTGGCTCACTGCTTGACTTTCTCACTAGAAATTGTTCCATTGAAGATTGTTTTTCCCTTCTTTGTAACACTTGTCTGTAGTGAGACATCACATTGTCATTAATAAGATCAATGCAATGGCCTGCTAAAGCTTTATCTGAGCAATTCTTTTCAGCAAAATTTTGCAGTTCCCATACTGCACACATTTTCTAAATTAATGAAGAAGGGAAATCCTCTACTGCCTCCTCCTCCTCCTCTGAAGATTTGTTGTACTGCCTAGCTAGTTCAACAACATGTGTACCATTTTCATGTTTACAAATGATCTCTTGTTTTTCCTCTATGATCATTCTCACATGTGCTTTCTTGCCTTGAACCTTACCACTGGCTTTCTTGAGACCCATGGCAGGATATATAATAAATTTTATGTTCAAATAGTCAAAAATAAAAAAAAAACTGTAAATCCTTGCAAAAAATTCAGGTACTATTGTCACTAAGTGGGAAGCACTGGTAAACTGAAGCTCAATCGCCATGCCACCACGCACTAGGTCGGCCATACGCGTATCAACAAACTCGTTTCCCGAGGTAAAGTTCGTAACCTGATTCAAGTTTTCCAAAGAAATCGGGCTTGTAACCCGAAAAGTTCGTAAAGTGGGGTATTCGCTGTGTTATTAGAACACATTCCTGCCCCCAGCAACAATTCCTGAATCAACCCTGACATCCAATTCCCCTTAAAATTAATAATCAAATTAATGATTATTAATATTATATTAATGTGATTGTTGTGTATAAAATCATGTGTGTATCGAATAAAAAGTACTGTACTGTACCAGTATTTGAATAAATCACCAACTAAAAATAATGACCCTCAATATACAATGAAAAACAAAAAAAAACAGCATTGAATATAATGAAACGCCTCTTTCTGGTAGGACCTCGGTGACTCCCTGAAGCTAGCTCGCTGAGATAGCTCTCCTTCCTACTAAATCACATCAACCTTAGAAGCCTTGAACCAAAGCCAGAACCTGGCACATCCTCCTCACAGGAAGTAGGGAACTGTCACAATCAACCTCACTTTGAAAACATCCAAAAAGGTAGCAATGCAATACAGACAAATGTAAGGTTCAAAGAAAGCAAAGCAATGAAACAGCTTACCTGGATGGGGGTTCTGAGAGTTCTACTCCCCAAGTCCAGCCTGGGGCCAGGCTTGACTCTTGAGAGCCATGTTTAACAGACTATTGCTTGGAGTGGTCATATTCACTACAACCCAAGTGGTCTGGCACTTCTTACAGGAAACTGTCAGAGTCCTGAATGAAACATGGAAGCACACCCAGGGGAAGGGGGAATCAGCCTAAGAATCCAGCTCCAACACAGATGAAGAAGGAAAACCCTTCGCCCTGAGTGAAAGAACCTCAGCAGATGAAAACAAAGACCAGGAAGTGTTGAAGGGCACCCAAGGACCCCTCCTGCATTTCCCTTCCCCAGCCCCAGGAAGTCCAAAATGAGGACCCTGGAGCAGAGCTGAGATCAATGCCTAAACAGGAAGGCATAACCAACACCTAAAGGATCTAAGTCAAAGATACCCCTCAGAAGAAGATGGTCCAGATTGCCAACAGGAAGCAATAGCTCAATTATCTCTGGTATTGAAGTGGCAATCCCCAGAAAAGACTCTGAAGCCCTTACTCTCTCCAGAGCCCAGAGCAATGGGGAGTGAACAAGGACTCTGCACAATGAAGCCAGATGGACAATGGAAGTAGCAGCAGTGAAAAGCACACCACCAGTCCAACCCCAAAAACAAAACGGTCCAATTCTGGGGCCACCACATGAGCACCGAACCATATAAAAAATAGGCAAATGACTAAAAATGGCTGCCATCTGTGGAGTCTTTTCAATACAAAAACAATAAACTAAACACAAAAGACATAGGTTTCAAATAAAATAGCAGATCCAAATGTCACAGGCCAAGGGGTAGAGGCTAATTCCCTTCCAACAGGTAGTAGAAGCATACAGTAAAATGACCATCAGTTTGTAGCAAAGCCTGGCAGACAAGTCTCAGACTCACAAGTAGCGAGTGTGGGCTCGTTGGGCCAAACAATAACTAGCCACACCAAAGACCCGTAGGGTTTACCAGGACCTGAAGGTAAGGACCAAGCAGGACAGCCCAGGCACTGTGTACACTCGCCGAGAGAACTAACACTGCACACAGCCTACAAGATAAACATGGTTACAATGGGCACCAGCAGCATGCTGTATAGACAGAGGAGAGTCAAAAACCTGTGCATTTCCCAAGACGAGACACCCTACACAGCAGTACGGCCTCTCATGGGGTGATCTACTGAACCCATTAGAGAAGTCACTGTCATGGCAGAGACAATGCCAAAACAAGCACTTAGGGTAGGGCTGCCATAAACACATGCAGTTCGAGGTGGAGAAGAGATCAAGTCCATGCAATAAGTTACCCTTGAAATGCACACACGTGAATAAAATACCAAAATCAGGAACAACACACAAAGCAAATTGCAGGACAGTCCATTTGATAGCATACAGTTATACTGGAAAAACCAGGACCCACCAAGTCCAGAGACTTGGGGAGGTCTACATTTGTGAATATTAGTAACAGGACCGAGGCCAAGATGGTGTTGAAACCAGGAGTTCAAAGTGGTGCTGCCACCTGTTGGTGGCTAGCTGTAAGTAGGGGATTAGATCTAGTTTCTGAGTGAATGGTTCGCAAAGTTGTTTGGCTGTTTCATTGCTTTGCTTTCTTTCAACTTGCCATTGTCTTATTGTTTTGCCGACTTTCTGGATGTTTTCTTGGCAAGATTGCTCATAGCATTCCCCTCCTCCTCGTTCCTCTGTGAGAAGGGGGAGCCACGTTCTGGGTGTAGTCTCCAATAGGACATTAAGGTGTCCCAAGTCTGATGTGACTCGATAGGGGAATGCTATCTCATCAACGAGCCACATTCCAGCCCCTCTCAAGATAAGTGTCCACACTTTAGTTAGGTTAGCAAAATACCTTGAAAATATTAGTATATATAATTTTATACATAATACTGTACATAATATAATTTAAAGACCATGTGTGTGTACAGGATCTGAAACATACCTTGTGGAGGATGCCCTCTTTGAGGAGGTGTCGTCCTGGGGCAATAATGTTAGGCTGGCTACGCTTAAAGGCTCGCTGAATCATCAACATACGCTGAAGGTTCTCTGCTTTACTAATGCTACGGTTGATGTGCTCTGCTACCTCACCCACCTCTTCTACAGCCTCTACAAGTAATTACTCCTTTTACCGATATACAAAATCCACCAAGCATACAGTACTTTTTATTTCAATAAATGTAGTAACACTAGAACTAGATATAAATACAGTATACTCTGGTCATTAAGGAATATCAGTGCTGAACACTGCAATCTGTAAAGTGCATTAGTAGTGTGTCACATGCTGTTAGACATGGTACTTCTGAATGACACATCTAGAATGGTTGGAACTTACTTGCTATGCTACTATAATGTGGGTGGTCCTCTGATGTGCGCTTGAGCAGCTCACCCAGCAGTAGACGGTACCGTGGAACCCGTTGCACAGGAGTGATGAGCAGCGAGGGTAGCTTGGTTTGAACCTCAGGTCGGGATTCTGTCACTGTGATCCATGACCTTAACTTATCACTCCGTCTTTCCCACTCCTACCATACCAATGACCATAATTTCATGTAATTATTAAAATAATAACTGAATAGCGATTGTAAAAAATATATAGCTGTCTGTCCTTACATTCAATAGGTAGGCAAAAGTACAGTACAAGTACTAACAAAGATTGCCATATATAATTCATTTACATACAGGCACTATATTTCCAGCAAACAAATTTACAAACTTGAGCACCGGTCATATAAAAAAAAGTACGCAAAACTCTGTCAAGACACTAGTCTGAAAAGACCAACTGTTACAACGACTTCATCACTGTGCCTTTTACCTTAGGCCCTTATTAAAATTTATAATATTAAGTTCCCTCCATAATTCTTATTGCAACTATACTTGTTGCACAGCACACTGCTGGTTTGAGATCCATTTCATTCTCACTTAGCCTACAGCATTTAACTGGAAGGACAAAATTATTTCTCTAACAACCAGACAATGTCCCAGAATTTGAAAAAGGTCAAGGATTGGAATAACCCATTAATTAGTTATCCTTAAAACACTACACAAGTTTTTCCTTAATTAAATCGCTGCTTGTCAGAATGATTAAATCTTTTGTGACGATAAGCTGGTTTGCTCACAATGAAATGATACATCACTGAAATGATACATCAAGTGAATAGCATGATACTTCTGCTATTCTGTGTACTATGTAATTTAGCCATCAATATATTAACCCTTTCAGGTTTTGCCCCCTTACCAATTTTAGGTGCTATCAGCATCTTGCACCAAGCTCAAATTCACTTAGCAATATTTTACATCCAATGTATACTGCAAAATTACCATGCATAGCAAAGTGTTAAATTTTTTAAAATTTTTAAGCTAAAGAGTTGTACTTCATGAGGCTATTTTCAAAAGTGCAATAAAAGTAAAATAAAATAACAAAAAGGTCAGTTAAATTTAGCCGACAAGAGGTTGAAAATGACAACTACAGTCGTCATCAGCACACTGACATTTTGAGCAAATGACGATTGTAGGCATCACAAAAATGTTAAAGAGTTTATTTGCGACAAAACAAATAGCACACTCACCAGCAAAAGATTGATAGACTTCTGATAGTTCTTTGCATAAGAAGAGTACACCTTTAAAAAAGGGGCAAGGTGAAGGAAGGCAGAACCCACATTTTCATTTTCAGACACCAGAGCCTTATACAGCTCCTCATTCATGTGTCGTAGAGCCGGCAGCTCACCAAATATGGCTGCATGGATGCCTTCAGGCAAGAGACCTTTCTCCAAACAAGGCCTTGCAAAGAACTGAAAGTCAAATATGGAGTCCCATTTAGCATTAACACACTATAATGAATACGGTAAAGTTGTAAATAGTCGACCAAGGCTAGTCCTGGGCTACTCCCAGAAACAAAATTCTAGCACCTAAAGTGAAGCATAAAACTAGCATCCCACAAAAAGAGTAAACACACATTCCAGACACTCTTCATATATTGTATGTACAAATGCATGTACAAATATGAATGCATATCTAAAAAAAAAAGATTGAAAATTTGTGTAAACCCGATTATGAGAAATTAGAGCAGAACCTCATATACTGCGTGTAGATTGGGCAATTTTAATAGAAATAGGCAGTTCCAACCATTATTATTCAACCTTAGTGACTTGTAGGAAGTATGATGTTGCTGAGCTTAATACAGGATACCTTTAGTCTTTAAATATTAACCAATAATTACCGATATTAGATACAATAGCCTGAAACTAGATTCTAACGTAGTTGAATATCATAGCATGTTTAAAGTATTACACGAGAACTGGGAATTATTTTCCTGCAAAAAACTACATGGTTCAAATTTAAAGTTACTCTACGGCATGCAGCACTGGAAAATGTGTTTTGTCACTTCTTTTTCCTCTAGAAACTTCACAAACAAGACAGAAGAAAAAGAGGTGATATGATCACTACGTACAAAATAGTAACAGGAATTGATAAAATCGACAGGGAAGATTTCCTGAGACCTGGCACTTCAAGAACAAGAGGTCATAGATTTAAACTAGCTAAACACAGATGCCGAAGAAATATAAGAAAGTTCACCTTCGCAAATAGAGTGGTAGACAGTTGGAACAAGTTAAGTGAGAAGGTGGTGGAGGCCAAGACTGTCAGTAGTTTCAAAGCGTTATATGACAGAGTGCTGGAAAGACGGGACACCACGAGCGTAGCTCTCATCCTGTAACTACACTTAGGTAATTACACACACACACACAGTACTGAATACTGTATATATGAACACATTGTACTCTACGGGGTGAGAATAGCTTGAGCTACCTCATCCCTTTGTGTGTATTTATACCTCTCACTTATTTCAATTTCAATTTGAAATGTCTAAAGAATAAATCTATTAATCTGAATAATATTTATAAATAAAAATGCAAGGTCAGCAAAACTAGGAAAATAGATATGATTTGATGGAAATTACTTTATGTAATACACCAAAGTCTTGAGATTTCACTGCATTCCCATCTGGAATTTCAATAAAAATATTTTTATTGTTTGAGAAATAAATATTTTGGAAAGGAAATCTGATGGACAGATTTGATCCATTGTTTTCAGAGGCATCCATTATATAGAGCTCCATATTTTTGAGGAAATAATGTACAGTGTGTGTACTGTATCGTTATTGTGAGATTAACATAAAAGGATAAAAATAATCAACATTGGTTCAGTAAAGAGAGCCAACATATATATCTTCAGCCATAGCATGAAACTTACTTTATCCAGCGTGTGAAGCTGCTTGAGATAAGACTCCTCCGTTAAAATTATTTCTTTTAAAACCTTGTCGCGTAATGGCATGTTCAATATAATTTTTAAGTAGCCAAAATAAATGTCAACTGCCAGATGTGGAAAGCAATTCTAATTGGTTCAAGCTAACACGAGTAGAGAGCCTCCATCTCATACCACCTGGAAGAGTAAAAAAAATACATGTTAAAAGAACATGGAGACAAACAAACTTTGTTTTGAAAACAAATAAAAGTGGTGCTCTTAAACTAATTTTGCTGAACAAATTCCATTATGTAAAGTGCGATTTTGTTGGTGGAACCCGAAAGAATTATGTAACTTACCCTAGCTAAGGTTGGTGCATCTAAGTTGAACTAATCTCACAACTAGGGTAAAGTTACCCTTTTTCAAGTACCGTACTGTACTTAAATGTTACTGATGTTCTTAGTGGAATAAAAAATATAGTAGTTTTATTAGGTTTATTGCAAAATTTATAGTACTGAATATCTTAAAAAGAAAAGTTATACAAAATGGAACTAGAATGGACGTTGTACATGCAATATTCATAGTGATATACAGTAGTATTAAAAAATGTAGGTATGCAAAAGTTCATTATGAAACCAAGTCTCCAGACATCCAAATGCAGCCTCCAGATGGCAAGTCATATTACCCATTTGTGTGGTGGCATTTTTCCCCTGCTACTTCCCATACAAAAATGCTATTGGCATACATTTGCGATTGACATCCAATAGCTGTATGTCCGAACCAATGCCTACAGTGGAGTGGTCATCATCATGTGACCTGCCCACCCACACATTTATTGGCACTTCATAACCTATCATTACTTTTATGATGCTCCAGGTAAGAGCAGTGTGCATTCCATTTTAAATGCCTTTTTGTTCCAATATGTAATTTGAGTACATTCAAAGAGTTCCTGGCATTTTTGTGGTTACACTCTGTGCACTATTGCAGTGTTAGTTTTTTGTTGTCTTAGAACCAATGACCATTCACATAGAGGTTACTTAACCTTAAACAAAATATACTAGAAATGCAAGTACGTCATATACACATCAAGATGTTATTTTTAGCTTAAGTGTTATAAATGAATAGTGCTAGTTAATAGAAGCTGGTGATATATATACAGTACATACACAGTTTTAAAGGCACATATAACAAGGAGTTAGAACTAACAATATTACAAGCCAGACAACATGGCTGATCTCATTGAGATTTTTTAAATACTGAACAAATTGGAAGATGGCAATCCAAACCACTTCTTTCAAAGGTCCATGTAATGCACACATGGGACAAGAGTGCAACAAGCTGCAGTGTAGGACAGACAACAGGATGCATTTTTACCCAAAGTGTAATAACCTCATTGAATCACCGACCTGCTGAAGCCATAATTGCCAATACAGAACTCCAGTTCAAAACTCAGCTGAGAATAAATTAATTATGTAATCAATTTTCTGGGAGGAGAGAAATCTGTGAGTACACATCTGCTCTCACATTCCCACACCACACTCATCTGCGCTCACATCCCCCATGTGAATTCATAACCTATTTCTTACATTTTTACATTTTTTTCAAAATATAATACGGTTTTTTGCATGTCAGCAAACGTATTACCCCCATAATCGCCAATTCTTAGTAGTAATGATTTTCTCAACTGCAAAAGTGTGGAACATTTATGCTGTAAATTGCAAGGATCTCCTGCACACTGGATTGTATTGTGATCATTTTGTTGACTGGTCATTTCATCCAAAAATTACCAAACTGTTTTGTAACCCCCCAACATTACAGAATATGCATCACAAAATTCTTAATGTATATCATAGATGGAGTCAGGTTTTAAAGGGTTAGGTAAGGTTTTCACACTCGCGCATGTAGAGCAACTGCTGTATGAAGTGAAATGTACAATACCTACATTACACAAAACAGGCATCATTATGCACGATAAAGTTAAAGACACGGCCTTCACCCCTTGATAATTCATTTTGTCAGGGGCAAGGGGGGAGCAGGCAGACAGTGGATGTATATATGTTAGACCTTGTGGGAACCTCAATATCAGCCTAACTACTAACACTCCCCAGGATTCAGCTCCATGACAATTAACTCCCAGGTATGTATTTAATGCCAGGTGAGCAGGTTCATTAGGTGAAAGGAAACGTGCCCAACGATTACTGTCCCACCCAGGATTTGACCCCAGGATTACAGATTAGAAGTATAGTATGAACCTAACTGCCCTACCGAGACAACTGTACCAACTGTAACACAGTAATGAGTCTGGTGTACATTACAGGAAGCAAAAATATATTATTATTTAATAACTACTCCCCCAACTACCCATACTTAGTCTCGAGAAACACCTCAAATCTGAAACCTGTGTAAACAGCAAAGACCAATACATCAGCTGTGTAAAATTTCCTAAAACACTCAACTCTTCTAGAAACCCACCTAACTAAGTTAGAACAAGCTGATTATCACTAATCTACTTCAAAAACAAATTTCTTCACACGAAACCTGACAGAACTCTTGAAGAACCACATCTATACACTTTAAGCCGGTTCTGCAGTGTTCACAGCCTCGCCACAACTGCCATAACACAACACAGGATAATAACTCACTACTACTGCAATGACATTTCCATATTCGTGCCTCTAGTGGTGCATTTATGGCCTAATTTAGTAGGGGAGCGAGAGATTGACCTTCAAACTGGTGCGTGTTGTGAGACGTCCAGAGGGTGGCCGTCACTTCGTACACCACACTCTTCACTTATAACTTAACTTAATGTGACTCAACACATCATGTACAGTAAGAAAGATATATGGTAGTGGTGGCTTGTGTTCGAAAAGTTACAAAATAAGATATATTTATATATATATAGCTTCTACAAAATTAGAAAGGCATTATAAGAGCAAATCACTGAGGTACGAAATATGGTGGCCAACGTCAACTAAGGGATAATGAATATATATATATATATAAGGGTGGTGAATATATATAAGGATGGGCTCTGGTGCAAGTGTAGGGACCCATAGCCTCGGAGAAGAATATACTGTAAAGAATACCCAGAGAAGACCTTGTAGATCCTCACTGAACACTGATATTTTCTTCTCCTACCACCCCTATTCCATATATCTAACTTTATTTTAAAATTTCATTACACAAAGAGGGTTACAACATTGGTTACATGCAGGGTACAAGGCTACTTGTCACAAGTTAAGCTTTAGGCTGCACAATGAAACTGCTATAGGCAATTTTATAGCTGCTGCTGCTGCTAATGTCAACTGGGAGTCCGAATTAGGTAACATAGGGGACATCAACTTAGCAATGAAATTTTTTCTTCAAAAAACTCTCAGCCTTTTTTTTTTATAGCACCCACTGTCCTATGCTAACGAAACAAGTCACAACTAAAAGGCTAAACAATCCTTGGCTTACAAAGGGAATACTTAAACCCATCAATAAAAATCATGACCTTGAGAAGAAGTATAGGTTAGGAATCGTCTCCAAAGAATTTTCAAAGAATTACTCATCATTGCTATCTAAAATAATTAGAAGAGCCAAAATTAAATACTACGAAGATAAATTTACCCAAACAAAGGGCAACATTAAGAAAACATGGAGCACAATTTCACAAATATTGGGATCAAAGAAGATTTTAATTAACAAACCAATACTCCTGTCCAATAACGATGGTCAGCTTACAGCCTCTGATACTGCTATTGAGTTCAATAGATTCTTCTCTTCCATTGGGTCATCCCTTGCAAATGATATTCCATCTTCCAGTACTGTACTGATGTTCAGGACTATCTTACAGGTAACTATCCACAGTCTCTGTACCTAACGCCTGCAAATTCCACTCATGTTAATGAGATAATCCTTTCCTTAAAACCAAGTCTAGTGCCCTTGAGGAGATACCAACTTTAATTTACAAAAAAAGCCTCCAGATCTTTAGCTCCTGCTATTGCATTGCTCTTCAACAAGTCACTTGAACTCCAAACCTTTCCAGATATTCTAATAAAAAAAGCGAGAGTAACCCTTGTCCACAAATGTGGTGATCTCACTGCTGTCAACAACTTCAGACCTATATCAATACTGCCAAACTTGTCAAAAATATTTGAAAAACTAATCTACAAGCAGCTTTACTCTTATCTAGCCAAACACAATATACTTAGCTCTTGTCAATATGACTTCAGACCCAAAAAAGCACTAACGATGCACTTATTAGTATGATTAACTTGATACATGCAGCTCTTGATAAAAATGAGTTCCCTGTTAGGTTATTTGCGGACCTGCGTAAGGCTTTTGACACTTTCAACCACCAAAACTTTCTTCTCAAATTACATCATTATGGAGTCAGAGGTCACTGCAATACCTTACTGACAGGCTCCAGTATGTTTCTGTGAATAATTCAATTTCTCCCACCCTACCCATCAACATTGGTGTTCCTCAGGGCAGCATACTTGGCCCCATGCAGCGCCTGGCTGCACCATACCAGGACCCCCAGCACCTGGCTCAGCCACACCACGACCCCTCAGCACGTGGCTCAACCACACCACGTTCTCGCACTTGCTTACGGTCAATATTGGCTAATTTAATAAGTGCATATGTGACATACTAATTGATTGTGAATATTTTAGTTTACCTTGAAAAGCTTCATAGAAAACACCGACCTCACCTAACCTTCTTAGTATGTTAAGATAAGCATCTTATTGCCTATTATTTACAATTATTACTTAACCTATTAACGGTATAGGTTAAGTAATAATTGTAATTAAGAAGCAATAAGATGCTTATCTTAACTTAACCTATCAACGGTATAGGTTAAGTAATAATTGTAATTAAGAAGCAATAAGATGCTTATCTTAACATACTAAGAAAGTTAGGTGAGGTCGGTGTTTTCTATGAAGCTTTTCAAGGTAAACTAAAATATTTACAATCAATTAGTATGTCCCATATGCACTTATTAAATAAGCCAATATTGACTATAAGCAAGTGCACGACCCTCAGCGCCTGGCTCAACCACACCACGACCTCCCAGCGCCTGGATCAACCACACCATGACCCCCCAGCGCCTGGATCAACCACACCACGACACCCAGCGCCTGGATCAACCACACCACGACCCCCCAGCGCCTGGATCAACCACACCACGACACCCAGCGCCTGGATCAACCACACAACAACCCCCCCAGCGCCTGGATCAACCACACCACGGCTCCCAGCACCTGGATCAACCACACCACGACCCTCAGCGCCTGGATCAACCACACCACGGCTCCCAGCGCCTGGATCAACCACACCACGACCCCTGGCTGCGCCACACTAGGGCCCCCGGCGCCTCATGGCTGCACCAGACACAACTTGACCTGCACAATAACACCAACGTCAACACCGGCATCAATAATTAATACGAAGAGCAACTGCAGAAAAAAATGTAAATATAAGAATACATTTGTTTGGAACTAGAGTGTAGCATGCATGCAACCCACGCAAGTGTGAATCAAGAGAGTGCTATCTTTGTCTCGCCTTAAAGCTGATATTTCCAAGGTAAACCTTGCTCCCGTGCGACTTTTGGCTGCTAAAGTGTTGCATTATATATGTATCGGTCCTTTGCATGCAACGAGGCCTCAGTTTTGATATTCGTTAGCAATGTGAAATTATTAATATCTTTCGAAATGTTTGTTGTCGTGAAATATGTAGGTTCGTGCGTCATAGTCAATTATATATCTATCTGTCTTTCTCACTGGCTGTTGCAGTGACGTGCTGTCTGTCTATCTGCTGGCCTGGTGTATTTCTCTTTGATTGATTATCATTTCTCTCTCTCTCTCTCTCTCTCTCTCTCTCTCTCTCTCTCTCTCTCTCTCTCTCTCTCTCTCTCTCTCTCTCTCTCCCACACACTCTGTCACTCTCTCACTCTAACCCCCCCCCCCCACACTCTCTCTCTCTCTCTCTCTCTCTCTCTCTCTCTCTCTCTCTCTCTCTCTCTCTCTCTCTCTCTCTCTCTCTCTCTCTCTCTCTCTCTCTCTCTCTCTCTCTTTCTCTCTCTCTCTCTCACTCTCCCTCTCTCTCTCTCACTCTCCCTCTCTCTCACTCTCCCTCTCTCACTCTCCCTGTCACTCTCACTCACTCTCCCTCTTTCTTCCCCGCTCTCTCCCCGGCAGTAACCAGACATTTAATTTAAACGACAGCGATAGTCGCCAAGATGCAAATGGCAGCGATAACGACACAAGTTTCTGAAAGTTGTTATATACAACCCTTTGTCTGTGTCAGATTCTAGCTTTGTGGTTGCGCATGCGTCGAGGAGCACCGTGTGCCCACTTAATTATGTATGTTGTGTGCTTTTTTTTATGAAGAGAGCGCCGAGCTCAGACTAACTTTAATTAATGAAAGCATGTTCAACCCTCTTTAATTTAGGTATTTAGATGAATGCCTTGTAAAGCTTTATGGGTATTTTTCCGCCCATATTGTCATCAAGGCGTGGGAAGGCCTTCCCTCAATTCTGAATTTTGTTCTCGTACTCACCTGGGTGTGCTTGTGGGAGGTTGAGCTTCGGCTCTTTGGTCCCGAGCTCAGGTGTTTATATCATTGAGGTTTTATTTACTTGCCAAACAGACTTTGAAGGGCCGAGCTTCAGCACCTGCATTGCAAGCGAGATTTATTTATTTCTAGCAACACTCAGTGTCCGGTTAGGATGGCTGGTATGGTCTTCTAATATGTTAACTGGGAAGAAAAACTTCGGAACCAACATTATCTAACCACCTGAGCTGGACGGTAGAGCAACGGCCTCGCTTCGTGCAGATCGGCATTCAATCCCCGACCATCCAAGTGGTTGGGCACCATTCCTTCTCCCCGTCCCATCCCAAATCCTTATCCTGACCTCTTCCCAGTGCTATATAGTTGCAATAGCTTGGTGCTTTCCCCTGATAGTTTATTATATGTTTATTGGGAACCAAAACCCTAGACTTGTTCCGGTTCCAACACCGGAACCAACACGCTTCTTTATTACACACAGAAATCACAATAACGTGATGCATCAAATGAACAAATCTTTATTGCTTATATTATTGGACTACACCTCAGCTTCCTCCAATAGGATGGAAGGGATGTTACCTGTAATTAGGGAAAAGATTTGATTGATATTATTAGTGCTAATGAGAGGTTTGCTTCCCTCATTTAGCTAATGAGTTTGGAGCGGATAAATTGTTTACATAATTTACTCGCTACAACAGCTTAGAATTTAATGCACTATTCTCACCTATTACAAGAAGAGTCAGCGCTGACGCTTGTATCGTAATGTGTACTTTGGTGTTAATATTTCCTCAAGGCCGCAGGGAAGCTTACTTGATTGTACATTTCAGTCTGGTATTCTTGGAATTGTTGAGCATTAAATAGTGGCCACGAAGACCGTGAGAAGCGACACCGGCAAGAGGCAATAACACAGGTACATTACTAGGGAGCAGGTGATCAAGATAACATCAATGGCACACAAGGAAGTACTCTCACGAGAAATAATTAACATCAAAACGGCAAGGAAATAAGACAAGATCGATCAAGAGATACGAATTGAATACACACACATACACTTGTGTGTGTGCGTGTGTGGATATGGAGTATATGGAATATACTCCATATACTTATTTTGTCCAGGTCATCTTGCCATGCCCTTCAAGATGACCTGGACAAAATAAGTATATGGAGCACCCCTTGGCAAATGAAATTTAATGTTAATAAATGCCATGTTATGGAATGTGGAATAGAACATAGACCCCACACAACCTATATATTATGTGAAAAATCTTTAAAGAATTCTGATAAAGAAAGAGATCTAGGGATGGTTCTAGATAGAAAACTATCACCTGAGGACCACATAAAGAATATTGTGCGAGGAGCCTAACGCTTTCTAACTTCAGAATTGCTTTTAAATACATGGATGGCGATATACTAAAGAAATTGTTCATGACTTTTGTTAGGCCAAAGCTAGAATATGCAACGGTTGTGTGGTGCCCATATCTTAAGAAGCACATCAACAAACTGGAAAAGGTGCAAAGACACGTTACTAAGTAACGTGTCTTACTAAGTTACTTATTTGTGCTGCTTTTTCAGTCATGTTCCCCCTTTTTTTTATCTTTATTTATATTTGTTCTCAACACTTTTTATTCTTTATGCTCAATTAGTATTAAGTTCTAGATATTAATGTTTTTCTTGCCCGAAACGCATTGCGTAATAGTGGCTTTAGGCATTGTATGTACTAGCTCTATCTATATATCAATCCATTAATGTAACATCACTTGTATGTATATACCTTACCTGAATAAACATATTTATATTTATTTATTTATATTTAAGTGGCTCCCAGAACTGAAGGGCAAGAGCTACGAGGAGAGGTTAGAGGCATTAAATATGCCAAAGCCAGAAGACAGAAGGAAAAGAGGTGATATGGTCACTACATACAAAATAGTAACAGGAATTGATAAAATCGATAGGGAAGATTTCCTGAGACCTGGAACTTTAAGAACAAGAGGTCATAGATTTAAACTAGCTAAACACAGATGCTGAAGAAATATCAGAAAATTCACTTTCGCAAACAGAGTGGTAGACGGTTAGAACAAGTTAGGTGAGAAGATGGTGGAGGCCAAGACCGTCAGTAGTTTCAAAGCGTTATATGACAAAGAGTGCTGGGAAGACGGGACACCACGAGCGTAGCTCTCATCCTGTAACTACACTTAGGTAATTACACACACAGTTGCTGGAGTTCAATTCCAACAAGTGTAAGGTAATGAAGATAGGAACGGGAGAATGGAGATCAGGAGGTGTTTACAACATAAAGAGACGGCAGGTACAGGAATCGGAAATTTATTTATTTATTCATTTATATATTTGCGGAAAAACCACACGTGAAAAATGGAGAATGCTTAATGCGTTTTCGGCTAAGTCGCCTTCATCAGAGCAATCTACTTTGATTCTACTTTGCTATGATGAAGGCGAATTAGCCGAAAATGCGTTAAGCAGTCTCTATTTTTTACATGTGGTTTTTCCGCATACTTGGATCAGTGTTTTTGTGATCGTTGTTGCTTATATATATATATATATATATATATATATATATATATATATATATATATATATATATATATATATATGTCGTACCTAATAGCCAGAACGCACTTCTCAGCCTACTATTCAAGGCCCGATTTGCCTAATAAGCCAAGTTTTCATGAATTAATGTTTTTTCGTCTACCTAACCTACCTAACCTAACCTAACCTAGCTTTTTTTGGCTACCTAACCTAACCTTACCTATAAATATAGGTTAGGTTAGGTTAGGTAGGGTTGGTTAGGTTCGGTCATATATCTACGTTAATTTTAACTCCAATAAAAAAAAATTGACCTCATACATAGAGAAAAGGGTAGCTTTATCATTTCATAAGAAAAAAATTATAGTAAATATATTAATTCAGGAAAACTTGGCTTATTAGGCAAATTGGGCCTTGAATAGTAGGCTGAGAAGTGAGTTCTGGCTACTAGGTACGACATATATATATATATATATATATATATATATATATATATATATATATATATATATATATATATATATATATATACCAGGAGACACCACTTCCACCATGCGACTTGAACCCTGGCCATCAAGATGATGATGAAGATGAAGATGAAGCCACCCAAAAGGTGGCACGGGCATGAATAGCTCGTAAGTGGTGACCCTTTTGAGCCATTACCAGTATCAAGAGCTGATACTGGAGATCTGTGGAGGCGCGACTGCACCCTGCGTGACGGGAGATGTCTCCCGGACCAAGTGGTGACCAAATGGTGGAGTGGCCATCAAGATGGCAGGTACGCACTTAAATCCACTACACCATACTCAGAGCCCTAAAAGAGGTGTAGTGGATTTAAGTGCGTACCTGCCATCTTGATGGCCAGGGTTCAAGTCTCCTGTTGGGTGTGTATCTAAAAGTTGTATACTTCAAACTTGTGGTTTAAGCAAGTCAGTGCATTAAGCATGGACACCATGTTCTGGACAATATATTTTGATAGTAGTCTTTCTTGTACTTACCAAGTTGTAAACGTATGTTATTGAATATGACTGAAAGGGTAAGATTAATGATTGTAACATGTATCTTCTCAATATTTCTTATGTTTTTCTTCACTGTCGAGGGAAGTTGAAAAATTAATTTTCCAAAGTTCATTTTCATAATTGATTATGGTCTGACGCCTAGGGATGCGTTTCGCAAGGCACTCCTTACAATATATATAATTATACATAATTATTTTGACCTAGCCGAGAGTAAGAATGTTGAAGGGAAGGCGAGGATGACGTAAGGCGGGTCAGGCCAGGTTGACGGGTCACCTGAGACATAGTGGGAACCAGCAACAATTACCATCTGGGTCACGCAAGGCCATCGTACTATAACGAAATTCAGGAAAAAACACTAACCTTCCCTTATCTCTGTCTCTCTTTATCCTAAAATAGTCACTACTGGATTAAATATTATATGTAATGTTGATAAAGTTGTATAAAAAATATGTGTTTATACAAAAGTTAATTTTGCAGTTTACTGTACCAGTTGACTTTGATTTGACCTAGCAAGGCGCCTTAGTCCTGGAAAATAGCTCCAGGACTTTGAAATTCCTATGTATTTTTATGTTGTAGCGATGTTGGAAATTACACGGTATTTATGTGGAACATAAACATTTTTCACTGCGGGTAAATGCTAATATGAGCTAAAGTTAATATTCAAATTATGGCTGCAAGAACACCAGTCCCGTTTGAGAATGACGCAGATCAATATCTGGAACCGCGCCCTCTGCATTCCCACGTACGATACTAACAACCACAACACTTCTTTTAAAGTGCATGCCTTGATTACAGTAATTATATTGCATCTAATATTATATGCATGCCTTTTGTTACATTAAATAATAAATATGACTTTAGTCAAATGTATAACTGGATATGCATATGGTACGACATCCTAATTTTTTGGGTCCCGGCAACAATGCAACATTAGTGTTCACCGGGTCATGAGAGGGAGAGGATGTTCTGCTGAGGAGGCAACTGTGCCTCTTGTTCCTCACGCATATTCATTTGGAAGGTAAAGACCATTGCAGCATGTTCTGCCGTTTGTCTGCACGTATTCTTGCAAGCCTGGTCTTTAGTGATGTGCTAGGCTTGGCCAATTTTGTTGACTTGAAAATAGTATTTAACGATTTTGTGTTATTCAGATATATGAATTGGTCAAACTATTGATTAATTAACTTACGCTTGACATATATGCCAAAATTAAGTGCCAATGCAGGTTATTGTTAGATAATAGTGGCTGTCAGTAGCCGTATTATTGTACGGATAAGGCCAAATTGGTTTTTGGATTCGAGCTTGAATCTGTTTATGAGAAACTGTGTTTGGTGTCTTTGTAATGTGTTTGTAAAGCAGCTTAGTGGAGGAGTGTGTACCTTCGCCCCCCCCCGTGAACCAGTGCTCCAGTCTGGCCACATATTCCTGCACAACTTGTAGTGCCACGCAACTGTTGCCAGTGGCACCATAGTGGCACCCTGGTCAGTGTCAGCCTGGTCAGTGGCACCCTGGTCAGTGTCAGCCTGGTCAGTAGCACCATAGTTAATGGCACCCTGGTCAGTGGCACCATAGTCAAAGGCACCCTGGTCAGTGGCACCATAGTCAGTGGCACCCTGGTCAGTGGCACCCTGGTCAATGGTACCATAGTCAATGGCACCCTGGTCAGTGGCACCATAGTCAATGGCACCCTGGTCAGTGGCACCATAGTCAATGGCACCCTGGTCAGTGGCACCATAGTCAACAGCACCCTGGTCAGTGGCACCATAGTTAATGGCACCCTGGTCAGTGGCACCATAGTCAAAGGCACCCTGGTCAGTGGCACCATAGTCAAAGGCACCCTGGTCAGTGGCACCATAGTCAGTGGCACCCTGGTCAGTGGCACCATAGTCAGTGGCACCCTGGTCAGTGGCACCCTGGTCAGTGGCACCCTGGTCAATGGTACCATAGTCAATGGCACCCTGGTCAGTGCCACCATAGTCAATGGCACCCTGGTCAGTGCCACCATAGTCAATGGCACCCTGGTCAGTGCCACCATAGTCAATCGCCCCCTGGTCGCTACCACCATAGTCAATGGCACCCTGGTCAGTGGCACCATAGTCAATGGTAGCCTGGTCACTGCCACCATAGTCAGTGCTAAATAGGATACTGCAAAAAGCTATAAAGTTGGGTTTATTCCCAACTGTACTCGTTGATATACGAGTACTGTATATGTTAAACCTTCGCCCTGAAGGAATACAGTGATACCATGTGTCTTATGTTAACTGGTAATTTTTTCCAGTAATCAGCATTCCTCTTCCAAAACCCTGTATTTACTCAGGTCTTTGCTAAATCTGAACACGATACGGTCAAATCTTGCTCATTAACGATTAGACAGTTCAGTTTCTGATTGTCAGAACCATAATGCTGTACATTGTTAGGTTAGGATGTATTAGGTCAGGCTCTGTTGGTTGGGTTAGGTAGGTTTTAGAGTCCATTGGCGAACCTTCTTGTGTATGATGTCATTTGTGTACATCTAAACGTATCTAATTTGTTTCTATTATTTTGTTATATTTTGTGTTAATATTTTTAACACCTTAGTAATGTTATACCCTTTCATCCATTTGTACAGTAAATTTACCTGAATTTATCCGAGGGGTACTAACACACTAATGGCTTCGACGAGGACAGGAAGCTGGTGGCGGCTTATCAAAGGTCTCCCCCTCATTTGCCTTGATGATTTTTTCCAGCTAGATCACATGGAGGAAAGTGTTATTACGTATGCCAAAATGCATAAGTTTTGGCATTTATGGGTTTGGCGGGTAGGCAGTTCCATGTATAGAGAGGTTTATAATCCTGTTTATGAAAAGCATCTGCTGTCGGTCCTATGTTGTGATTTGAACTTGAAATTGTTGCTCCTTGTTTGTGTTACATCTGATCTTTTGAAGAAATTGCCTCAATCATCATCCTCCAACTTGTTCAGTATTTTAAAGGTTTCGATGAGATCTGCCCTGTTATGTTTGGTTTGAAGCGTTGTTAGCCCAGTGGCCTTCAACCGTTCCTCGTACGAGAATTGACTTGGTTCTAGAATGATTTTTGTTTCCCAGTGCTGCACTTTTTCCCAAGCAGCTATGTCCTTCTTAAGTTGAAGTCTCTGTGCTTGGATACAATAATCCAAGTGATTATTGTATCAAAGCACCAGGTATTTATACAGTTGAATCACTACTGTAGTGATTCAGTTGTGCCTATACCTATTCAAAATATAGTGCCTTTTAGAATGAATTGAATTGTGAATAATAAAATACTGCATTGTATACAGTACATCCCTATGAGTCACTACACGACTCGCATACAAGATTAGGCAAATACTGTATCACTCTATTTGTATAATAATTATACATTTAGTAGTCCGTGGTGCAGTGATAAGACACTCGCTTTGCATTTCAAGAGTGCTTTCGCTTGGGTTCGAATCCTGGCTGGGGAGGATTGATCGGACACCAATCCTTAACTGTAGCCTCTGTTCACCCAGCAGTAAATGGGTACCTGGTTGTTAAACGATTCTTTGTGGGGGTCGTATTCTGGGAACATAGGATTAAGGACTTGCCCAAAATGCTGTGTGTACTAGTGGCTGTACAAGAATGTAACAACTCTTGTATATATACAGTAAATAAAAAAAAAATAAATGATTAGCAACATGGAGACTGCAAGCTGATATAGTTGGTAATGATAGAAGCTATAGGTGTCTCCTTAGAGGGGTGAGGTGTTGAAGGCCTTGTTGCCAGAAGAGGAGTTGGTGGAACAGCTTGTAGGTAGGTTATGCCATTTTGCTTAGATTGATACTTTTTTCAGCAATTCTAGAGCTTCCTGTCACACTTGCATTCATGGACCCTGCATGTCTAGTTTTCCAAACTCGTCCACCCCTCTCAACCACTCATCAAGTGGCGTGTAAGATCTGTATACTATCCTGTATAATAATTTTGTGTTTTCTACATGAAATTAAAAATGTAGTAATGTGAGCCATGTTTTAATATACTGTATACACATGGTGATACGGCCTGACTAGTTTCATGAGCAGTGAGTGGTCTCGCAACTCCTTGAGAGATCGGCTCGTCTTTTGTGTAATTACCTAAGTGTAGTTACAGAATCTCATAAAATCATAGTACTGTAGATGTATTGGAGGCAGGACAGGAATGTTTTTTTTTATCCCACCATGAATTGATAATATAGGCATGATGGTAGTGAGAAGGATGTATCTTCTCCAATTAAGAGTGAAATGACAAGTGATGGTTGGCTAGTTAATGGGCAAGTCAGTTTTTTAACCTCCAAGCTGTTAAGGGCTATTTGGCATTTGTCACCCACAGGCGCATATAAAAAATTCTCATAGCGAACCACTAAGTTGATATTGCGAGTCAAAAAGCAACAAGGAGTAACCTCGTTATCTACCAGCCAGGCTCTCGCTGCCACTCCCTCCCTCAATGACTCCTCACTCGCCCACATCCTCCTCCTACCATACTGTTTTGCTTTTATTCACTATATGCATGCATTATATATAAGTATCTATATGTTCTGTTCATCTAAGCTGGTACAGTGGGGCCTCGACTTATGATGGTAATCCGTTCCCAGAAATGGATCATAAGTTGAAATATCGTAAGTTGAAGCAATTTTTCCCATAAGAAATAAAGGGAATTGAATTAGTCCGTTCCCCACCCTCCAAAATATTAACTTACAAATACATTTTATACTGAATACAATTTTGTTCTCTAACTACAGTACAATACAATACATATGTTTATCTTACCTTTATGGAGGACTCTTGATGGCGTATGGAAGATGGTGAGAGGGGTGGAGGAGGAGAAGTGTTACTGTTTGGAAGGGCAGTTCCCTTCCATTATAACATCAGGCAGTGATGACTTTTCTGGGATACACTCTCTGGCATGTTTTGCCTACATACCACTAGGACCTGCTTGTGGCTCGTTGCTTGCTTGTCTTACTAAGAATCTGTCTAAAAACACTTGTTTTTTCCTACATTTTAACACTTGTCTGTAGTAAGACATCACATTGTCATTTAAAAGGTCAATGCAACGGCCTGCTACAGCTTTATCTGGGCGAGTTTTTTCAACAAAACTTTGCAGTTCTTCCCATACTTCACACATTTTCTTAATGAGGAAGGGATATCCTCTACTGCCACAACTCACAACTATTTTCTTAGGTTGAATCATACCACTGACTTCTGGGACCCATGTTGTGATATATAATAATCAGTTTTATGTTCAAAAAGTAAAAAATTACCACAAAAAACGGAATTTCTTATAGGCGTGATCGTCACTAAGCGGGCAGCTCTAGTAAACTGAGGCAGGTTGGCCCGCGTGACAGAGAACCACGTGATCGATCGATCCAAACGTGTACCAACAAATATCGTTAGTCGACGACATTATCGTAAGTCGAGTCACATTTTTCGATCAAATTTACATCGTAACTCGAAATTATTGTAAGTCGAGGTGCCACTGTATATTGCACAAAGAGCATTGTGGCCACCCTTACCAGCATGGTAAGTCATGCAGATGTCGCCGCCTCCCTCACCAAAATGGCTTCTCCCAACTTTCCTCTTGCTGTTATTACACTATATATACACGTTATATATAAGTATCTACATTTGTGTTCACCATAACGAACCACTAAGTTGGTATGCTCAATGGCAGTGGCAGCCAGTGGCATCCTGCCTCTGGCTGTCCCTCCCTCACCTCACCTGACTCGCCAACATTCTCCTCCCACCATACTGTTTTTACTTTTATTCACTATACAGATGTTATATACAGTATAAGTATCTGCATGTTTTGTTCACTACCTGTATAGCGAACCACTAAGCTGGTATAGTGAGTCCAGACAGTAAAAGGTGGTCACACAGAGTCAGCAGATAACGCTACCTCCCTCCCCACCAAGATTATTCCTCCCACTACAGTGCTAATTATCACAACAATCCTTCTATTATCAGAATCCTGGTTATTTTTATCACAGTCAGGGGTCTTCTGTAATACTGTACTATCA